GGTGAGACAGGTCCCCAGAGGGGGGTCAGTGGCGCCTTGTTGCCCCTTCCCCGGGGGAGCAAATCCTGGAGGTGGTTGCTGTGGCTCCAGGGTTTCCCACCGCCCCCCCAGACAAGGTCCCTGGGAGCAGCGTCCCAAGGCTGAGCCCGATGGTGTTGGCTTCCCCTGGCCCGTGCTGGGACGGGGACGCCCTGCACCGCGGAGAGCCGTGGTTTGGCTGGAGAAGTAGGTGATAAGGATGGGGTATCGCGTTACGGGAGCCGGATCCTTCTTTGAGGTTAATAAGACAAGACAGACAATCGCTGCTGCTTGATCCAGGGAGTGCTGTGTGAGTGAGTCTATTAGTGGGCTGATGAGTAATCAGCTACATTGGAGACCTGCGAACGAGAGGAAAAAGTTGTTAACGTGACTCAACTGACCCCTCTCTGCAGAAGTTAGTGTGTCTTTTCTGAAACACCACAGGTGGATTATTCCACGACTTGGATGTGGAGCCGGGAAGGCATGGCAGGATGTTCCTCCTTGCTTGCCAGCCGGAGTCACGCGCCGGTGATGAGCCACCGGCGATGGGAGAGGGGACAGGGAAGGGACGAGCCTAACCCTGGCTCGGCGTGAGCCGAGCCCATCTGCCTGCTCATCCCTCAGTCACTCCGTCGAGGGGCTGTTTTAGTTTTCGCTGTGGCAGGCTCGCTGTGCACACAGCGACGCTGCAGGCTGGCTCAGCATTCCCATGCTCAGCTCCCGCATTTTCAGGGTTCCTGCGTGTCCCTGCCCCGAAGCCGTTTTCCTGGCTGCGGTGGCAGGGCTGGGGTGGGGGGGTCCCTTCTCCTGGTCCCCGTGCAGAGCCGGGAGGAGGTGACAGCTGGGTGATGTGGGATGCTGTGAGACACAGAGTCCCACTTTCTGAATGTGGGCCGTTGCCTCCCGAAGTGCAGGAGGCAGCTCTCCCGGGAGATCAGGTGTTGTGAGACTCGTGACTCCACCATGCAAATGCTGGAGGCTGTGAATAATCATGTACTTGTGCAGGGAGACTCAGCCCCGCGTGGGCTGGAGCATCCCGCGGCCAGGCGGGAGGCAGCTGAGTCCCAATCTCCTGGATCGCCGGCAGCGAGGGGCGAGGAGGAGAGCAACAGTGACCTGCACCCCAACAAACCCCATTTTCAGGTCATCCCCTCTCCAGTGACAAGTATTTTTGCTGCCCCATTTGAAGGCTGAGCCAAAACCTTGCTGCTCCGAGGGAAACCTCTGAATTTCCAGCCTGGACTTGCAGTTCATTCCTGCTTTTCTTGTGCTGATTACCCAAATCTAAACTTCTGTCCCTGATCCAGAGAGCCACATCCCAGGGAGCTGGCAGCAGGGCTCGACCAGGACTGCATCTCTCCCAGATGACCGTACGTGCCATGAGGAGAGCTGCATCCCCCGAGTCTCTTGCTCTTGTGCTAATCTGAGGACTCCTGCCTCATCTGTCAGAGTTTTCCAAAAAAACCCAAAAAGCAACGACATTTTTATCCCTCTTGTTAGGCAAAGCGGTAAATTTATCGCTGGGCAGTTGTCAAGTGACTCAGCTGTGCGTGGTGGGCTGCGCTCTCCGTGGCTGCGCATGGGGCAGGGGGCAAGGATGGTCTTACTGAGTCCTGCTCTGCAATGACTTTTTTCCCCTTCCCATCCCTTTTTTGCGGTGGGGAGGCCATGGAGACCCCCAGGCTGGTGGCACAGAAGATGGATACAGCTCAGGCCAGCGAAACGTCGCTGCCAGAGCTGCTGCCCCTCGGAAAGAGAAGGGATTCACCTGTGGGGTGGGAAGGTGCCAGGTTCAGGGTCCCCAGCATCCCACTGCCGTGCCCTGCGGGGACGGGGACGGGGCGTGCGTGGGGCTGGGGCGCGAGTGGCTTATTCAGCTCCGGCTCATTCCCCAGCAGCTCCCATCCCGGAGCGGAGGGCTCCTCCCACGTGGCGGGCAGAGGGTGGCCGTGGCCGAGGTCCGGGGTGCTCCTCGCCTTGCCGTGCTGCCTGCTGCCTTCACCCGCTCCCGGCTCTGCCACCGCAGACTGACGTGAAAGTACACGGAGTGCCCTGCTCATGTAAATAAACCCAGCTATAAATAGAGAGGGAGAGAAGTGTGAAAACAGTGGGGAATGGATTTCATAAAACCAGCAAATTAGTCTGGAGAAACAAGGGTGTGAACTGGCAGCCGTGTTCCAACCCAAGCCCATATTTCCAGTTTCTTGAGGGATGCTGAGGGGTCCCTGTGCTGTGCTTGGCGTGGGGAGGCACACACCGGGAGCGGGGCTGGGTCCTCCCCATCTACCGTGGGCTCCTGATGCCTCCTGGCTTGGGCTGTGTTAGCATGGTGCCTGTCATTATTTTCTTTTTTTCCTCTTTGAATTGTGGCAAAACCCATCTGAAGACCTGAAGATGATCTGGCTGGTGACATGGGCTCCACCTGCACCAGAATATATTGACTTCGTCCTGCTGGGTGCGGGTGGATGGAGCTCTGCCAGCCTCGGGCTTGCTCCCTCACAGGCGGTGGGTGATGGCTGGGATTTTTTGGGTGCTTTGAAGCTGGCAGGACCAAAGCTGGTAGGGTGCTGGACAAGGGACTGCTGCAAACCTGACTTTCAGGAAACAGGCTGCACCAACCCGGCTCGGCGTGCGATCCGGAGAGCAGCTTAAAGAGCAAAACCGCCCCAACGCGAGGGTCGTCCTTGGCTCTGCCAAACCCCGCCAACCCGCCTCGCAGATTTGCAAGCTTTCATTTCAGACCTCAGGATTAGGAGCTGAGTCAGACTTTTTAGGAGGGTCTCGGATTTTGCTGGGGAAGCAAACTGCCTGGGAGCTCGTGTGAGCTTGGGCTGGGCTGGGGGATGCGATCCGCCGGGCCGTGCCGACGCTCAGTAAGCGTAATCACGGGCAGGAGGTGTGGGATGCTCCTCAAACGCCTGCATCCTCTGCAAGGGTTGGGTTTTTGGGGGATTTTTTTTTTTTTTTTTTTTTCCCCTCTTTCCAGGACGTGCATGGGAAGAGGTGGGTAGATTAGCAGCTGCTCCAGCCTCTCCCCAGATACTCTCCCAGCAGTGTGGGCAAGGGGAAGACGGTGAATGCCGGGGACAAAATGTGTCCCCCTCTCTGTGTAAGCCTGTCCCCTCCCGAGCTGCCTGTCAACTTGGAGGAAGTTCAGTGGCTCATTTCTCTTGCCGGCACGCTGCTCGGGGGGCGAGCCCGGCTGTTTGCCCATCTGGCACGACCCCAAAGTGGCCCAGGGTGGCAGGGACAGATGGCACAGCTGATGTTGGTTGAGGTGATGCGGAGCTGGTGCAAGGAGCAGGTGGCTTAGCCCACGGGGGAGAGGTGACCCTGCGTGGGTGCAAAGTGGCACTAGGGTGTCCAGAGAGGTGGTGTGTGGCAGCAGGGACAGGTGGCAGAGCTGGGGACAGGGAGGTGGCACTGCAGGACACATCTGGGGATGGGAGGTGGTGCAGAGCTGGTGCAGGGGGGCACATCTGGGGACAGGGAAGTGACACTGAACTGGTTCAGGGGGCAGGGGGGTGACACTGAGCCAGTGCAGGGACATATCTGGGGACAGGGAGGTGACGCTGAGATGGTTCAGGGGGCGGGGGAGTGACTCTGAGCCGATGCAGGGACACATCTGGGGACAGGGAAGTGATACTAAACTGATGCAGGGACACATCTGGAGGCAGGGAGCTGATGCTGATCCACTGCAGGGGCACATCTGGGGACCAGGAGGTGACACTGAGCCAGCACAGGGACACTTCTGGGGCCAGGGGGGTGACACTGAACCGGTTCAGGGGGCCAGGACGTGACTCTGAGCCCGTGCAGACACATCTGGGGACAGGGAGATGACACTGAGCGGGCTTGGGGGGCAGGGGGGTGACACTGCGCCAGTTCAAGGGGCAGTGGGGTGACATTGAGCCAGTTCAGGAGGCACATCTGGGGGCCAGGAGGTGACACTGAGCCGGTTCAGGGGACAGCAGGGTGACTGAGCCGGTTCAGGGGACAGCAGGGTGACACTGAGCCGGTTCAGGGGGCAGTGGGGTGACACTGAGCCGGTTCAGGGGTCGGGGGGGGTGACACTGAGCCAGTTCAAGGGGCAGTGGGGTGACACTGAGCCGGTTCAGGGGGCAGCGGAGGAGTGACACTGAGCCAGTTCAGGGGACAGCAGGGTGACACTGAGCCGGTTCAGGGGGCTGGGGGGGTGACACTGAGCCACTTCAGGAGGCACATCTGGGGGCCGGGAGGTGACACTGAGCTGGTTCAGGGGGCAGTGGGGTGACGCTGAGCCGGTTCAGGGGGCTGGGGGGGTGACACTGAGCCGGTTCAAGGGGCAGTGGGGTGACACTGAGCCAGTTCAGGAGGCACATCTGGGGGCCGGGAGGTGACGCTGAGCCGGTTCAGGGGACAGCGGGGGGGGTGCCGCTGAGCCGGCGCAGCGGGCACATCCGCGGGCCGGGAGGTGCCGCTGAGCCGTGCCGGGGGTCACACCTGGGGGCAGGGGGGGTGCCGCCGTGCCGGGTCGGTGCGGGGGTGCCGGCGGGGAGGTGACCGGCCGGCGGAGGTGACCCCGCTCCGCCCGCCGCTCCCGGCAGTGCGCATGATACTGCGGCGCCGGGGGCCCGGCCCGCCCCGCGCGCCAACCCACCTTGAAACGGGCCCGGGCCGCTCCGCCGGGCCAATCACCGCCCACTCCGCCGGGGCGCGGCCAATGGGAGGCGGGCGGGGGCGGTGCCGAGCCGCTAAAGGGCGCAGGGCTAGGCTGCGCCGTGCGGCGGAGGGCAGGTGCGGCGCGGCGGCGGCGGCATGGGCGCGGGCATGGGCGCAGCGGCGGCGGGCGGCCGCCGGCCCTGAGCCGCCCCTCCGGCCCCGGGAGCCCCGGCCAGCCCTGCCCCGGCCCGGCCAGCCCTGCCCTGCCCCGGCCCGGCCAGCCCTGCCCCGGCCCGGCCAGCCCTGCCCCGGCCCGGCCAGCCCTGCCCCGGCCCGGCCAGCCCTGCCCCGGCCCGGCCAGCCCTGCCCCGGCCCGCCCCGCCCCGGCCGGGCCGAAGATGCTGCGCACCGGGGGCCGGTAGTACTATGATTTGGTATGTGGCCGCTTGGGTAGCAAGTGTGCTCGGCGCCCGCGGGCTGCCCGTCCAAGGTGAGTTTGGGGGGGGGGGGGGGGTGCTGCGGGCCGTGCTCCCCCCGGGGTGCCCCAAGGAAGGGGCCGCCGGGCTCTCCGGGGACGCCTCGCCGTGGCCCCCCCCCCCCTCGCTCTCCGCGGTGCACCGGCTGCGGGGCGGGGGGGGGGGGGGGTGCATGTGCATGCACGGGGTTGTGGGGGAGCTTGCACCGGGAGCGGGAGGGGGGGTGCTTGGCGGTCCCCTCCGCTGCCTGTGCAGGGCACCGAGCGCTGCCCGTGTCCCCCGGCGCCGCGGCTGCAGCTATTTCTTTATTCCCCGCTTCCCGAGGAAGAGGAGGGGGCGGTGGGGAGGCTGGGGGGGGGGGGGGGGGGGTTGGAGCAGGGAGCGCCCGGCGCATCTTCCTCAGGCGACCGGCGGTTTTGGCAGTGACCTCCCAGAGGGCAGCGGCTGGAAGCCGGGAAGTTTGGGAGGCGGGAGGGTGGTGTGCGACGGGTCCCTGCTCCGGGGCTTGGAAATTCCCTTGGGGAGCAGGCGGCCGGGTGCGAGTCCTTGCGGGGGGCACCCCTGGGTGGGTGCGGGGCCCCCGGCCAGGGCTGGGGTGCGGGCGAGGGGGGGGGGGGGGGGCAAGCGTTTCTCGTTCCCCTCCTTTTTTCTCCCAGCCTGGGGGAAGCAGCAGGCAGCGGCTTCCTTTGCCCTTCCCTGCAAGGGTAGCCCACTGGGCAAGGAGAAATGCTAAAGGAGTTCAGTGCTTTCCCCTGTGCCCGTGCCCTCCTGGCTGCGGGTTTGGGGGTGACTTTCCCCCCTCTCCCCACCCTCTTTCCCTCCCCCTCCACTGCAGGCTGGCTGCTGCGCCGGGGTAAACTGAGGCACAGGGTTTTCCAAGGTCAGGAGGGAGACAGCGGCGGGGAATAACCCTGATTTTCCTGCTCTGGCTTCTTTTCCTTCAGCGGCCAGCCCCCTTCCTTTCTTCCCCCCCCGTGCCCCCCCGCCAGCCATCGCTGCAGGTGGAAGGGGAGCTGCCCGCCGCTGGTGCAGCCACCATCTCCCATCGCTGCCGCCGGTACCTCACCGGGCACGGGCTGGTCCCTGCGCCCCGGGTGTCACCGAGCCCTTCCCGCGGGGATGCGGTGGCCGCCGGCAGCGAGCGATGATGCCTGGCTGGCAGCCTCCGCCGCTCCCCTCCCCGCGGTGCGGGGGAACGCCGCCTCGGCGGGCGCGGGTGGGCTGGGGGGTGTGTGTGGGGGGGGCACCTCGGCACACCGCAGCCCCCGCTGCATCCCGGCTCCCCTCCAGCGCAGGGGGTCCCATCTGCACCCCATCACGGTCCCTCGGCACCCCTGCCTGGCAGCTGGCTCCTTGGAAGCAAGGATTTGGGGGGGGGGGGGGGTTTGGGGGGTGTGTGTGTGTGGTGGTGTCAGGATGTGGCCGTCCTTTTGGGGGGACGGGGCCCCCTCTTGCTGTGGAGCAGCAGCCGGCTGCTGCCTGCCTGAAATGCATCCTGCGGCGTGGCGAGGCGGTGGTTTGCAGCAGCGGTTTGTGGAGGGCTCCTCTGCCTGGGAGAGGAGCAGAGCGGCGAGATCGGCGCTTGGGAACTCGGAAATACCCTGCAGCCACATGGATGGGGCTCCCGAACGGGGGGTGGGGGGGTGTGTGTGTGCTTGGGTGGGTGGGTGGCGGGGACCCCCCGGCTGTGGGGGTGCTGCGTGTACGGAGCGGCGTGTACGTGATGAATGAGCATGCCGCGAGTAATGCGTGGGTGGGTGCCGGGCGTAGTGGGCGTTGCGGGCCGGCACAGCCCCCCACGGGAGGGCTGCGTGGGGACAGGGAGCCCACAGGACTCGCCCTGGCTGCTGCAGCCCCTTGTCCCCAGCACCGTCCCCTCCTCGGGGTGGGGTGGGGTGGGCTGTCCACCTGCATCGCTTGGGGACAGGGCTGGGGCTCGCCATGCGCTAGGACTTCTCCCCTGGCCGTGGCCTTCCTCCCCACGCTGCCTCCTCCTCCTCGCAGAGCCAGGCTGAGGAGTGGCGGCGCTGGCCCTGGGCAACCCCCTTGCCTGGCCCGGTTCTCCGAGGGCTTTCCAGGCGTTAATCGGCTCAGAGAGGGAAGGAGGGTGCGTTATCCCCTCTCACGGCATGGGGGGGAGGAGAGCCGGGCTGCGACCGCGCGGGGAGTGGGTGTTGGAGGAGGGATCCGGCCTCTTGGCGTTCCCGGCGGTGCCGTGACACCGAGGGGTTTTTCCTCCCTCTTCCCACGGGCGTGCTGCGTCACGGCAAGCGGGGATGCTGGTGGATTCGGCAGGCGCGGTTTGCGGAGGGAGGATTCGGCTTCGCCAGCCCCGGGCGAGGGCTCCCGTCGAAGAGGTTCCCCCCGGACGCCGCGGCGGTGACCTTGGCTGCTCGGAGCGGCTCGCCGTGGCCGTGCCGGCGCTGCATCCCCTGCTCGCTCCCGGCGCAGAGCTGTTGCACGCGAGGGCTCGTGCCTCTTCGGCTGTGGAGGGGTTTGGACCAGTAGCCATCGACTTTGGCACATGTGGCTTTGGCCCCACTCTCCTCTGGCAAGGGGATGGTTTGGCAGCGGGAGCGGCCAAGAGGGTTGGCCCAGCTCCTGTTTTCATCCTTTCCCAGAGGATTTCTGCTCCTCTGGACCTGTTGGATGGGTGCGCAGAGGGCAGGGAGGGATGTGCGTGTCTCGGTCGTTGCCCTGGCTTGCCCGGAGGGTTTTTGCGGTGATGCTTTCCCGACTCGATTGCGTTTCGACTTGGAAGATGGAGCTTTGCTGGCGACGGGTGGACCCTGCAAGTTCCTCTCCGGAGCTGCGCCAGGATGGGTTAGCTCCCATTCACCTCCAGTCCTGTTTTGGAGGTCGTGGCTTCCCGCTGGAAGAGAAGCCCTGCAGATGGGCGAGACAGGGGGTCCAGCCCCGTGCCGTGGCGATGGAAGAGTCCTTCCCTCTCCCTTCCCCTGCGGTAGGCATCTCCCGAGCTGGGGGCCGCGAGCGACCAGCTGGCCTTTGGAAAAACAACTCCCTTCCTCCCGCTTCACGATGGAGAGGCTGGCGTTGGTGGGAGGGCTGCCTGAGCCAGGAACAGCGTGATTCAGGAGCTGCTGGCGGGCAGCTCGGAGCGCTGCCTGCATCCCCGTTACCGGTCGGAGGGCTCTGAAGGCATCGGAGTGGTACGCGCTGCCCCGTGGGGAGGGTGCCCGTGGGTCCTGGTGCCATGTGGGTCTGGGGGGGGGGGTATGGGGTGTGTGGGGGGGTGGGTGCAGCACCCCGGCAGCTCTCTTCGGCTGCAGGAGATCTCCCTCGGGAGGGAGCACGCAGGGAGCTGCTGGTCGTTGCTGGGAGATGATGGCTCCCCTGAGGCAGCTGCTGCGCAGCACGTGGGGATGCTCTACGCCAGGCCGGTGGCGTTTGGAAAGAGGGGGGACGCTGGAGGACCCCCCCCAGGTGTGGGGTGGGTGACCACGAGGAAGTAATTTTCTTGCGTGCTCCGTCACTGTGCACCAACCTGCGGTGACACGTGTGCTCGCTGAGCTGCCACCCGTGTGGGCACGGTCCCACCCAAGTCATCCCGGGGAGTGGGGATCCACCGTGGAGGGTGGGGGGGCTGCCGTGGGGGCAGCACCCCTGGCGTGCACGCTCCCCCGGGGGTGCCAGGGCAGCTGCCTGCCTGTGTGAGGATGGTGGTGGTGGTCCCGCAGGACACCCCTTGGCCCCGGGGATGGGATTTGAAGTCACCATCTCACTGTGAACAGGGCTCCGAGCCCCCCCTCGCAGCTAATCCCGCTCCTCTGCCGGCCCCGCGTGACCTTGAGGCACATCACTTGACCTGCGCGTCTCCCTCCATCCATCTAGAAAATTGGGTTTAAAAATGCAGGAATCACCCTGAAAGCCCAGATGCTGCTTTCCAGCTGAGGGAGGAGGCGAGGGCTTCGTTCCGGGGCTGCCCCCTGCCAGGGGATAGGAGGATGTTCTCGGGGAGGGGGGGGGTGGCTGTGGGTACCCCTGAGTGGGCAAGGGGGGACCCGAGCTTGCAGCGGGGGGTGCAGCCTGTCCCCCGTGCTGGGCTGTGGTCGCTGCCCTCCTTGTTTCGTGACAATGGCTGTCTGCTCGCCTTCCCTGCCGGCCTCCATCTGCCACGCTGGTGGCCTTGTCCTCGGAGATCCCTGCCATATCCCGCCCTCGCCGATGCGAGAGGGATGTGTCAGAGCAGATCTCGTCTCTCCTCTCCAGGGAGGAGAGGTCCCCAGGCTCGGGACTTCATGCCTGCTCCCTCAGCCATCCCCACGGCGGGACAGGGATGGGGACGAGCACCTGGGGTGGGGGGTCGGGATGGGATCCCCTCTCTGACCCCTGGGCAGGGCAGCTCTTTGCCATTATCCCTTGGCCGTGGGAGTGGTGTTTGCCCCCACTGCGAGCCGAGGTGCAGCACTATTTCATTCCAAAACCCGCTCTGCCACGGCCACGTTCTTCTCACGAAGCATCTGCAGGAAGGGTCCTGCTTCAGCGAGTGCACCTGAGAAGCTGGATGCCACCAGCTTCACAGAGTCCTGTGTCACCTTATGTCTCTGCTCTCGGGATGGGAGAAGAGGGATGCCCAGACCCTGGCTGAGGGTCTTCCCAGCCTTGGCATCGCCATCCCGGGGAGCCCCGTGGTGGCACCGTCTCTACGTGCAGCAGCTTTCCCTCCTCTCCCTTTGGGATGCTGTTCAACTCCACCTCCGCATCTTGTATTCTTGCCTCCTGGCACGCGGCGTGCTTTTATTTTTCCTGGATCTGCTTGGATGACGAAGCCTGTTGATTACTTGTTTTTCTTTACGAGGCATCCCCCAGCTTCATGTGAGCTCCTGCACCGAACAGGGATTTGGGGTTTTTGTCCCTGCTGCGGCTCCCTGATGTTGACCCCATTTCCAAAACTCAGGTTGAGCCTTGAAACCCCCCTGAACTCGGCTGGGAAAAATCAAGTGGGTTTAAAAATACCTCGTCTGTTTGCGCTCTGTGTCTTCTGGCGTCTGCGGATTGTTTTCAAGCGTTTCCCCACAAATGTGGGGGTGAGAAACACTTCTTTGAATTGAGAGCTGCAGTCTCCATCACTCGTGTGCTTTCAGCAGCCGGGGCTTGGGAGGAAAACCTGGTTGGGGCTGGGAGCGCAGGGTTAGCTGGTTGGGAAGTTGGGGAGACCTAAAGAGGAGTGGGGGGGTCTGAAATCTTTCCCCACTGCTTTCCAGCTGTCTCAAAGCGGGGACAGGAGGGCACGGGGGCCAGTGGCGGGGCGGGTGGCAGCTGGGGAGAGCCAGGGGGCCAGTTAGTGGCCGTGGCTGCCAGTTGGCCGTGCGTGTGGGGAGGTGATGCTCAGCCGTGCGTGCAATTCCCCACCGGCCTCGCGATCAGACACGGGCGCTGCGAGCTGCTGGGGCTGACCTATTTTTCTTGCACCCGGGCGGCCCTGGCCAGGCGTGGGTCCGGCGGAGCCGTTGGCTCGTTCCCCTCCCCGGGGATGTCACCCACTGGTTTGCTGGGGAGTCAGTCAGGGGATCCCGGCGTAGGGGCTGCGAGCGTGACTCCTCGGAGCCCATCCCCGAGGCATCTGGGTGGCCTCTTGGGCGGCGTGCTTCTTCAGCTGGGCAAGCATCAGCATCCCAGGCTCTATTGGGCGTTGAGATGCTGAAAACCAAGATTCCCACCATGGTAGCCGAGGAGCTGGTGGGCTGTGGCAGGCGGGGAGCTTGGGAAGGGGCTGGGGTGTTGGCTCCCCCCCCCCCCGCCTTCTGTGCTGCTGGTGGAAAGCAGGACTGTCCTTTTGAAGGTGGTGAAGTGCTGGGGACCCGCTTGCTCGGGGAAGCGTGTGTCCTTGGATGCTCTTGAGCAGCACGTGACAGCCGCTGTCCCTGCTCGGTGCAGGGGGGCCATGGGCAGGGAGGGGGGGGGGGGTGTTCCCAGCACTGCAGCATAGCCCCCCCCCCCGGATGGGTGCAGAGGGGTCCTGGTAGTTGGGGAGGGCTGACACCATCCCCGCTGACAGGGCGTGAAAGCCTGAGCTCATCGACGATGCAGCGACAGCGAGGGATGGAGAGGTGCAAGAGTGTCGTCAGGGGGGGTAGGAGCAGGGTGCGTGTGTCCCCAGCAATTCCCCCCCTGCCCAGACGGGGGTCCAGGCAGGCACGTGGCCCTGCGGGACCCCCATAACAGGGCCGGCTGCAGCTTCTCACCCCGGCACCCCCCTCCCCTCCCAGTTTAAACAGCCGCCATCCAGCCCCGGTTTGCCGGTGCTGCGGGCACAGAGGGTGCCTGGCTGGTCATCGGGCTGCGCTCCTCCACGGCGGAGCCCCCCGCCCCCCTTCCCACGGGGGCACTCGGTCAGCGAGCCTGGGGGGGGGGGGTGGGGGGGGTGGCGGCACAGCACGGGGCCTCTCGCCGGTACACGCTTGTGCCAGAGCCAAAAATAGCCGGTGATGCTCGGCTCCCGCGGCGGGGAAGCGGTGATGTCACTCGCCGCCAATCACCGGCGGCCCCGAGGAGCAGCGCGGAGGAGTGGGAACGTGCTTCCCCCAGCATCCTTCCCCCAGCATCCTTCCCCCAGCATCCTTCCCCCAGCATCCTTCCCCCCAGCGTCCCCCGTGGAGCAGGCGGTGGCCGCGTGTGCCAGGAAAAGGGGTGGGGGGGTGGGGGGGAAGCTTCCTTAGTGGGGAGGGAGATGGGAGGCTGAACCTTGCGCCTGCAGTTTTGGGGACCCACCCCCCCGCCCTGGGTTTTCCCTCCCTCTCCTTTTCTGCAAGCCGTGCTGGGGATGCAGCTTTGCCGCTGGTGGTGGGAGCGGGATGACGACAGGCTGCAGCTGAGCGGGGAGGCACAGCCGGGGTGGAGCAGTGCCTTCATTTAAGGCTGAGACCAAAGCCCTGCTTAATTACCCCAGCTGGGAGGAGCAGGGTGCCAGACTCGATGCGCAGGGTTTCAGGCCTGGGGCTTTTGGGGACGCCCGAGGACGGGCGGGCTTGGCTTGGAGCATCGCTGCTCCGGGGACTCGGCCAGCCCTGGGATGGCTCCAGCTCCCCGGGCTGGGACACCGGAGCTGCGAGTTGGTGGCCCCTGCACGCTCGGTCCCGCTCGCCGGAGGATGTGGGGGCACAAGCAGGGGTGAAAAAGCAGCCTTTGCCTCGCTGCAGGGATGCAGGGCAGCCCTGATGGTGCTGCTGGGTGGGGAGCAGCACTAGGCGTGCTCTGTGCACCCCGTTCTGCTGAGAGGAGGGGGTCCCCCAAAACCACCTGGGTACCACCCTTGCCCTGGCGTAGGGCTGTGGGGAGCAACCCTATAGCAGTGGGTACTTGATGGTCACCATCCTGAGTCCTGGGGTGGCCCTGGAGCTGAGTGGAGAAGTTTGGGGAACCCCCTTTGTTTTTGGGGTAGGGGAGACCCGGGGGCTGCCCTCAGTGGAGCTGTCGTCTCTGTGGCTTTCCCACGGGTTCCAGTCCTCCAGCTCACACCAATGCTGGGGTCTGGTGGTGGGATCAGCCACAGCTTCTTCCTTCGTCCCCTCACAGGTGCCCTCGGCTCGAGGGAGGAGCCCGAGTTTGTGACCGCTCGCGCTGGCGAGAGCGTGATCCTGGGATGCGACGTGATCCACCCGCTCACGGGGCAGCCCCCTCCCTATGTCGTCGAGTGGTTCAAGTTCGGCGTCCCCATCCCCATCTTCATCAAGTTTGGGTTTTACCCTCCCCATGTCGACCCGGAGTATGCCGGTGAGTCCGAGGGACGAAGGCGGGACGTGCCGGGTCCCGGCTGCGGCGCGGGCTGGGCTGCGCGGCTCCGCTCCTCCGTCGGGAACCAGGCGGGCTCTGCCTCTCGTTGCTCGCTTTCCACCCAGTTGGTTTTAATTAAGCAGCAGCACTAGGAAGCCAGCTGGGCTGTGTGGGATGGGAACGAGCGAGGCAGAGAAACCCAGGGTGATGCGTGGTGGCGGCGGCGGCTGCTGCTGCTGCGCTCCGGAGCAGATGTGAGCCTTGGGGGGAGGAGGCTGGGGGCACGGTGGGGATGGATGGAATCGGGGCCACGTGCCGGGTGGAGGTGGCACGTCGGAGCTGCAGGGCCCGCATGGCTGCTCACCAACGTGCCGGTGGCTTCTGGTGGGGTGTCTGGGCTGGGGACCAGCCCTGAGTGGGGCGGCGTGGTGGGACAGACCTGTTTCCATATGCCGTTCCTGGGAGAGCACCGCCCTGAGGACCTTCCCTGGGTCTTACCTTCCTTCCACGCTCTGCGGGGCTTCCTCGGCCCAAATTTTCCCCCTTGGGAAATCCTGTGGCCGGGAGGATGCCAGCACCTGAGCCTGGGCTGAGCCCTGCCACGCTCAGCTCGTGCTTGAGCGATGCCAGAGCCCAGTGGCAGGGTGGAGGTTTGGACTGCTCTGCTGCTGGTCCAGTTTCCCGAGCTGCGCGCAGGGGTCATCCCCGGGGCCGTGCTGCTTTTTTTGGGAGGCTCCCAGGCCGGGGAAGAGCTTTGGGGCGCGCCGGCTTGCCGGCTGTACCGCCGCCAGCCCCCGGCTGGGAGCAGAAGGCCGGCGTCGCTGCGGGCAGACGCCGCTCGAGGCACCTTGCCTGGCTGTGGCAGCTTGCTCTGCCCTCCTCGCCAGATGGGCAAGCGTGTCACCGGCCGGCTGCGACCGGCAGCACCGCGCCGTGAGGCTCAACCAGTCCCAAAACTGGGGATGGTGGGGCTCTGCCCGGCCCCCCAAACCGCCGCAGCCGCGCGGTGCCCGCACCTCGCCTAAGTGCAGCGATGCTCTGGGGTGGGGGGGCTACCTACACAGGGCTAGGGGCCACCGAGCCAGCGGCTCCCCTCTCCCCGTAGGCCGGGCCAGCCTGCACGACAAAGCCTCCCTGCGCATTGAGCAGGTCCGCTCTGAGGACCAGGGCTGGTACGAGTGCAAAGTGCTCATGCTGGACCAGCAGTACGACACCTTCCACAACGGCAGCTGGGTCCATCTCACGGTCAACGGTGAGCAGGGGCGGGCGGCTGGGGGGCTGGGGTGTCCCCGGGGAGGGGGGCGGGGGGCTTGAGGCAGGTCCCCCTGCCGAGGCGGGTTTCCCTCTGGTTTCTGATGGGCGCTGGACATCAGTGCTATCTGCATCTTGCAGCCAAGCGAGCCCGGAGGCATCCCGGCTGATTGCTCCAGCCAGGGTGTGACTTAAAAGGGGACTAAGTTTTATTAACGATCCTGCAGTTTAATTAGGCTGAGCTTGTTTAAAGGACAGACATCAAGAACTGGGGCTGGGAATGACTCTCCTCTTAACAAACAGATCAGGAAATCAAATCTTTGTTTTCTTGAAATTCAGATTTACTCAAATTACTCTTTCATTTTATTAAGGCTGCGTATTAAACTAATTAGCAAATTGTCATTCTCCACATCAGGAGAGGTCTTTCTCTCTAGCCCGGCAGCAGGGCTGTGCCTCTCCTGCTGCAGTGGGGTGGCTGGAGAGGAGATGTGGGCACTGGCAGCTCCTCCCTGGTCTTGCCTGACCTTGAGCAATTAATTTACCCTTTCCGGGGGGAAGGCTGGGCTGCAGCACAGAGCAGAGCTTCCTAATTGAGCCCAATTAGTGAGTGGGAGCTTTGCAAGCGGGGCTGTGCAGCACACCAGCCCCATCCCTGCCTGCTGAGGAGCTCAGAGGGCTTGGGAAGGAGGGTGAGAGGAGGAGGATGAGGATGGTGCCTGCTTCTCCTCCACCACAGGCACAGATCCTGCAAACCAAACGGCCCAAGGGGCTGGAAGTGGCCATTGGCGCCCCAAGAGCCCTGTCCCACCCTGCACTCACCCCCCCTTTGCAAAATGGGCTGCTTTTGGGGTTTTATGCAGCACGGGGCATGCAGGGGCTTAATAACAAAATAATAACCGTAATCCTCCTGGCCCGAGGAATTGCTTTCAGGGAGAAGGCTGTGGCTTACCCCCAGCGCATTACAACGCTTAATTTTCTTAGGGGAAAATAAAAATCATTTGGGGAGAAACAAAATATAATTCCTTTTTTTCCCTGAGCAGATTAAATTGCCAACCTGTCTTCCTCGAAAGTGGGCTTTAACAACCGCTGGTAATTAGGGGCGGGCTGTAATCCTGCCAGCCTCTTTAATCAGGAAGGAGCCTTTCGATCTGCACTGCGGCGTTTTTCCCATGTTTTGACAATAGCAAGTTAATGTGCAAGTGGGGGGGGACTACGAGGACGACGCACGTGGTGCCGTGCCCTGGAGCTGGTGGGGAGGAGAGGGGCCAGGGCTGGCGTGGAGGGGATGCCCTCGGCGGGTGTCCCCGGGGGGCAGCCCCTGTCTTCCCCATCCCTGCAGCCCCATTTTCCTCCGGGATGGTCCCAGCCGCGCCGCGGGGCCGTGCGGCGTGTCCCCTGTTTGCAGGCACCAGCCTCCCCCCCTCTGTCCCTGGGCCACCCCCTCCCGAAAACCCCCCCAGCGACCACCCGCCAAAGACGGGGTGTGTGTGGGGGTGTCACGGTGGTCTCCCCCTGCCCCACAGCTCCCCCCACTTTCACGGAGACGCCGCCGCAGTACGTAGAGGCGAAGGAAGGCAGCAGCGTCACCTTGACCTGCATGGCGTTCGGGAACCCCAAGCCCATCGTCACCTGGCTGAAAGAAGGAGACCTTTTGGGTGCCAATGGCAAGTACCAGGTAGGTGGGTGGAGGGGTTGGGGGGGGGGGGGGGGGGGCTGCCACAGGGGTGTCCCACTGGTGGGGACGGTATCGCCGGGACCACGGTGGCGGCAGCTCCGCCGTGCCTGGAGCTGGACGTGCTTTCTCAGCACTTCTCTTCGCTGAGATTCCCATTTTTACACCTGCCCCCCCCCGGATCCCTGCTGCTCCCTGAGGACTCATCCTGGGGGCTGGTTGCTGTGCCAGGTCCCAGAGATGGGGTGGGGGCTGCAGCTGGGGACTCGGTGTGCCCGGACAGGGCTGGATGCAGGGCAGAGGTTTGGGCAAGGAGGATTTTTCCACACACCCCCCCCCCCCCCCTCCTCCTCTCCCTGGACCCTCTTTGCATCCCAGAGGCTCCTGGGGAAGAGATTCCCCCCTGAGCTGTAATTGGTAAATCAGGCATTGGAATCAGCGCAGGCACTAATGAGAGTAATTAGGAATCATTTGTTGCTAATTGAAATAGAAGGATGAGGCAGAATGAGGTGGGGAGGGGGGGAAGCCTGGCTGGGAGCAGGGCTCCCTGTGCATGGGGGGGGGGGGGGGGGCTGCTACCCTTTGGAGGGGGGACAGTCCCTCGCCCCTCCTTCCTCCGCTGCGTCCCCGGGGAGGAGTTTGGCCGCTCCTCTTGCAGCTGCGAGGTGGCCCCGTGGGGACGAGCGGAGGGTCTCCCCCTCGTGCCCTGCCCCAGGGGGGGCGGCGGGTCCCTCGGGAGCGGGGGACACTCCGCTGCCCCGTGTGAATCGCGGATGGTGCCGGGGCGCTTGGCAGGAGCGGTTTGGAGTCTGCCGCCTGCCCGTCACTTCTGCGAGAGAGGAATATGTTGAGAGGGTTATTTATTTCTTTTTTTCTTTTTTTTTCTTTCTGTTTTGTTTTTTTTTTTTTTTTTTTTTTCTCTCTTCCCCTTGGCGTGTGTTGGTTTATTAATATCCCAAGTCTTGCAGAGTGGGGAAACCCGCTTCTCATCCGCCTCTAAAAGTGCCGGTAGCTCTCTCCTGTGGGAAGCGGGGAGGGAGGGTGCTGAGTGGGGCTTAGGGTGCGCACCCCCCCTCCTCCCCGGGGGTCCCTGCCCGTGCTCCAGGGTCTTCCCTTGTTGTCCCCAGGTGAGTGACGGGAGCCTGACAGTGCTCTCCGTCAGCCGGGAGGACCGGGGTGCCTACACTTGCCGGGCATACAGCATCCAGGGAGAGGCTGTGCACACCACGCGCCTGCTCGTTCAAGGTAAGAGATCTTCCCTCCCCCCCTGCCAAACCCCTCCAGCTTGTCCCCAGGGGGCTGGCAAGGGTCCCCGTGAGGACAACTCCGTGGATTGTGGGGCCACGGTGCCACCCCGAAACGACCCGGGGCTCGGCGTGGTGCCGACTGCCCCGTTGGCTCCTCATCCCCTTTGTAGGACGGAAGAATGCGTTTAATTGGGGCGCGGCGGTGGCCGTGCCGATGGAAAGCTGGGCCGGTTTTGTTCGGGAAGCGGGGAAAAGATTGAGGCGGTCACAAAGCGCCTCGTCAGATAGCGGTGATGCTTGGCCAGGCCTCCCGCTCCTTGCTCCCTCTTTTATTAAATAAATCTTTAATTAGGTCAACAGCTACCGGCGGAGAGAGGAGCGTGGGGTGTCCTCTGCTCTGCTTTCGCTCTGCGGACGCTTGCTGCTGGCATCTGGCAATTTTGCCTTTTCCCTCCTGGGTTTTTCCCCGCGGGTGATGTGATCCTGGAAACGTGCTTGGGATGAAGGGAGGTGTGAGCTTGGGTGCTCTGGCGGAGATTAGTGGGGGGGGAAAAAGGGTTGGGAATAATGGGGCCACTGTGCTCCTCAAGGTCAGCCCCTGCACCCCGGGATCCCGGGGGATTGGGGCCAGCTCTGCCCCGCAGCCCCCCGCCAGCGATGCTGTGATGGAGCTGAGCCTGAGCAGCCTTTGTGGGGAGAAGCGGACTGGTGGGGGTGACCCTTTTCATGCCTCCCTCCAGGACCTCCTTTCATCGTTTCCCCTCCGGAGAACATCACGGTCAACATCTCCCAGGATGCGCTCTTCACCTGCCAGGCCGAGGCGTACCCCGGGAACCTCACCTACCTGTGGTACTGGGAGGAGGAGAACGTCTACTTCAAGAAGTGAGTTTGCAGCTGGCAGGGCAGAGTGCCCTCCTCTTCCTCCTGCTCCCAGACGCTGCTGGGGCCATCAGCTGGGACCCCGCTCCGGGTCTCCCCGCGAATCCTCTTCCTCCCTTCTTCTCTCTTGCAGCGACCTGAAGTTGAGGGTGCGGATCCTGATCGATGGGACGCTGATCATTTTCCGTGTCAAGCCAGAGGATGCTGGAAAATACACCTGTATCCCCAGCAACAGCCTGGGCCGCTCGCCATCGGCCTCTGCCTACCTGACAGTGCAGTGTGAGTGCGGGCAGCGCAGCCCGACCCCAAGGGATGGGGCTGGGATCGACAGCACCCGTCTCTGTCACCCCGATAGGGTGCTAGGAGGGCTCGGGTGGATGCGACGGCAGCCTTTGGATGAGTGTGCAGTCATCCTGAGCAAAAGGCTGAGAGCATCCCACGGGTGTTTGTAGGGTGTGGGCAACAAGAAAGCAAATAGCCTGAGCATCCTGGGTAGCGCCGCTCGGCTGGGACTGGTTTTTGTCTAGGTGGGCATCTCCCCACCGCCGCTGCCGGCACGCTGTCCTCATCGGCTGCCTCAGGTCGGGCAGGGCAGCACCAGATCAGGGCCCTTGGTCTCCACTACCTGCTTGTGTTTTTTGGTATTTACTACAGTTCCTGCGGCGTGGGTTTTTCGGAGCTCGGTAGCTTTGCGTGTCATATTTTTCAGGCGGTAACTGATCTAAACAAGCAGAGGAGAAGGGGCTGGAGCAGGAGCGTTGCTTCCCACGCTTGTTCTCTCCGGCTCCCCGGGCGGTAATGGGTAGTGTGCCGCCGGCGTCCTGTGGCATTCGACAGTAATGGCCTCAATTGCTGCCGCTCACAATTGCAATATTGCTTTGCTGTAAAAAGCTGCGGCCGTTTTTATTTTATAATGAAAGACAGGCTTGAGCAAAGCGGCCTCGCGGCTTGGGTTTTGAAGGCTGCCTTGGAGCTGCTGCCTGTGGACCCGGTGCTGGTCGGTGGGAAGCCCCACGCCGGCGGGGAGCTGCTGTGAGAAGGGCTGGTGGGTCCAATCCTTTCCCTATGGGGACGGCAGAAGGGGCAGGGGGACGGTGTGACTGGTGCTGTGCCCGGGCAGAGGTGGGATTCGGGGCTCGGGTGTGCCCAGCTGGGCGATGCTTGGGGGAAAGGGTGCAGCCTCAGGGCGTTCAATCTGCCCTGCCGCTAATCCAGGACCACTCGTCGAGGCTGGTAGCTGTAAAAACAGCAGGAAAAAAAAGGCGTTTGGGCAATCTGCCTCTGCAAGGCTTCAGCACGAGGAGGTGTGCTTGGCTTTTTGTGCTGCAGACCCGGTTCCTCCGGAGCAAATTTTTCTCATGTGGGCCGGGGCTGATGCCGTGGGAGGGAGGCCACGGCTCCGGGTCAGTAGTGAGCTGGGCTGGGCCCCCACCAGTGACCTCGCAGTGAAAGGCTCGATCCCATTACCCTCTCCCTTGCTGCCGGAGCCCTTGATTACATTTCCAAAGAGGTGGAGTTAAGCGGAGGAGGGTAAAGCCTGCTCCATCTGCAGCGCTTGGCAATCTGGGTTACGGTGCCATTGCCGGGCGCGTGCGGTTTCGGGGAGCCATTGGGGTTACATATTTCTCCAAGGAGGGAGCAGAGCTCCCAAACTTGGTAGCTTTTGCCCCAAGAAAGCCATAAGGAGGGGGTACCCCGGCATCCTCCGTCCCTTCCTCCTAAATACCTTTCCTCCCAGTTTTGCGTTTTTGCATCAGCGGCGCAGGGATGCTGCACCCCGAAAAAATGCATTCATCCCTTAATGCAGCGTAAGCCCCATCAGGATTTTCCCATAACCTCATGCTGCCGGTGTCTAGACAAGATTGTAGAAATACTCGCTCTTCTTATTAAAGGTAACTTTTTTTAAAAAAGCTTCTTATTAAAGAAAGTCTAGATTCTCTCCAACCCACTCGCACTTAATTAAAAAGCTCTTAGAAGCACTGTTAATGACACATTCTAGACTGGAGGATTGCGAGACGCCTCTCTGCGTGGGTGGTGCAGCACGGGGAGGGGGTTAGGTATGTATTTTAAGCTTTCTGCATCCTGTTGGAAAGGGTGGAGGTGGCTGATGCTCAACGCGACCCAGCCTCGATGAGGCACGAGCTGCGAGTACAAACAGATAGGAGGTAAAGAGCTCCCAGCAGCCCGGCTGCGGATCCCTTCTCCCATCTCTGTTGCTGCAGTTGGTGTGTTTTAAGGCCCGGGAGATGCAATAGTTTGCAGTGCTGGTGTACAAAACCAAAAAAAAAGGGGTGGCTTGCCGGGTGTGCACGGCACACCGCATGCATTCCACAGGCTGAGTGCGACGGAGCAGCTCGGGCTTCAGCAGGACGCAAGTCGGTGTGGATGTGGGGGCAGGCATATTTAGTGTTTCTTCTTAAATGCAACTTTTAATGAGCCCCAGGTAGGAAGCCTCCCAGAAATGCCAGGTATTACAGCGGATTTCTGTGCAGCAAGCCTGGAGATAAGAGCCTGCGGGAGCCAAGGTGGTGTTTGGGTTTGGAATTCATTATCAAAGCGATGTAGATCCCCTGAAGCCAGGTGGTGGGGGGAGAGATGGGATCTTTCCCCGTGTTAACATGGTGCTGCTGCTCTCCCAGATCCTGCCCGCGTGGTGAACATGCCCCCTGTCATCTACGTTCCCATCGGGATACACGGGTACATCCGCTGCCCGGTCGAGGCAGAGCCCCCGGTCACGCTGGTCAAGTGGAACAAAGACGGACGTCCCCTGCGCATCGAGAAGGTAACGGAGTCCCCCGGGGAGGGACGCGTGGGGGCACCGAGGGGTTCGGACCCTCGTGTCCTCTGGGAATGCCAGAGAGCATCATCGGGCACCCTGCCCGTCGGGAGAGAGGAGGCCCCGTGGGTGGGATGATGCTGCTTTTCCTTATCAGCTGTGGGCAGAGTTAATTCAGGTTCTTCTGTGGAGCCCCGGGCGCCTGTAGACACTCTGTCTGCATCTCCCAGATCTAATGCCTGCTTCCCTCTAAAGTCACCTCCTGATGGCTCTGGGGTTTTTTAATTTTTTTTTATTTTTTCCAATGGCAACTGATGGTTAAAAGTCCCTTTTAACAAGTCTCCATCTTCCTATAATCATGGTTTGATAGTCTGAGCAAGGATATAAGACATTAAATATTTAAAGAAATCGCTTGGTATTTTAAATGTTTTGCTTAAATATTAACGATCTAAAGTTTTTAATTCCATTTAAACCTATTGGTGCTGTGGGTTCCTGGTCCTCGGTGCCCTCAGCCCCTGGGGTGGAGTTGTCTCCTTGGTGCCACTGGGACAAGGTTTACTTAGGGTGTGATAGATTCTGATGTTAAATCGGAAAGGATGTAGGGAAGAGAGGAACTGGAAGATAAACCTGTGTGTCGTCGGGTGTATGCAGAGCAGGGCAACCCTTCCCGGGAGGGCTGCATTTGGACAGGCTGATCTTGCCCCCGTTTCATCTCTGCAGTTGAGGAGATGGCTTGGATGCTGGGAATTGAATCGGGCATCTCCCAGGGGTGTGACAGCTGCCGTGGGTGTAGGTGGGGGGCTTGGCTGAAGGGAAAACAATAAGCTGTGGAGGGGTGTAGGGTAAATCAGCTCCCTCCTTCTCACTGCCACAGTATTCTGGCTGGAACCTGCTGGAAGACGGGTCGATCCGGATAGAGGAGGCAACCGAAGATGCTCTCGGCACTTACACCTGTGTGCCTTATAACGCCCTGGGTACGATGGGCCAGTCTCCCCCTGCCCGACTGGTACTGAAGGTAACTTGCCTGCTAAAATCCTTGTTCTGCAGCCGGCATACTTGCCGTGAGTTGTGGCCTCTCGTGCCAAGAAGAGCTGCGAGCAGGGTTGTGTGGGGTGCTGGAGTCCCAGGCCAGGCGGTGGGAACACGTGCGTGCTTGGCCGAGGTACCTCACGCTGTAGTTAGGCTTTTTTAACGTGGTTTTTGCAATGTGCATGTTGTGGAAGGCAGCAGCCACGGGTTTTGGCACGGGCTGGGCCACAGCCGGTGTATGATGAGTAGGAGGCTTTGGTAGCACTGGTACTTTGAGGAAACGTGTCCCTGGGATGGCCTTTTTGCCAACGAAACACTTAGCCCTGCTGTCCTGGGCTTGGCTTCACGGAAGATTTTAATAAATGGATGATTGGGAGCATCTCTAGAGCTCATGTGCTCTTGCTGCGTGCGGAGCCCAAGGGGCACTGGGCTGGGAGCTGCTGCCTCCTCCTTCCCTGAGCAAAAAGTCCCGTGCTTGCGAGCGGCGATGATTCATGGTCTCTCGCTGAGGTTCACATAATAATGCTTTGTGCATCACAGACACACGCGTCCGCTAAGACGGCTGCAGAGTCGATGAAATCAGGTTGATGTCTGATGTGATGTGGGTAGTTTTTTGGTTTGTTTTTTTTTGTTTTTTTTTTTTTTTTTTTCCCTCCCCCTGTTGCCTTTCTTAAAACTTAAGATGCCCTGGTGCAGCGGCTCTTCAGAGAAAACTTCCCTCTGGGTATATAATTTGGTGTAGAGTAGAGCCTCCTTGGCGCACGCTCTCCGCTGCGGCTTCCCTTGCAATGCCTCGCCCTTACGCAGACTGGTGATTCATTTTTGTTGGAAAAGGGCTGATTTTGGTGGTGGGGAGCGGCTTGCTCGCGGTGGGAGTTGGTGGGCTGATGATGCTCCTTGCCTTTCCCCTTGGCTGCAGGACCCCCCCTATTTCACGGTGCTACCAGGCTGGGAGTACAGACAGGAGGCAGGGAGGGAGCTGTTGATTCCTTGCGCTGCCGCCGGAGACCCTTTTCCCATCATCGCCTGGAGAAAGGTACCCGGCCTGCCAGACAAATCTGCAGTGCCTTTGGCTTTTGGTGAATATTGCAGACAGAGAAGCCACACTCTGTCCCGGTAAGAACAAAACTGCAGGTACAGCTGCTTCGCTTCGGGCTGAGCCACTGCCGTCCTGTCCCGCAGGTGGGTGGGGGAAGCCCGGCTTATGGCCACCGAGGACTTTAATCCCGTGAAACCGTCACGGCGGCATCTGCAAAGCTGAGCACTGCCCCGGCCCCCCCCCCCCCCCCCACCATCCTCTTCCTCGCCAGCGCTGCCCACGGGACACCCTCCTCCTCGCCTGCCTGCGAGGTGGTCACCGGCAGGACACGTGGCGGGAGGGGACGTGCTGCTGGAGCGTGTCCGGGGAGGGGGGGGGTTCTCGTGGCTGTGTTCCAGCAAGGGGCTGGACAGTCAGCTGCCCCGTGACTTCAAACACCCTGGGAAAGAAGCTCTTTTTAATGATACCTGACTGGGCGTAATGATTTCAGGATGTCCCTTTCTGTAGAGCAGGGTAGGATCTGGCGTGGTGGCACAGTCTGGGAGCAACCGGGCTTTCCAGCCCTCCTCCAGCCTTCCCTTCCCTTCCCACCTTCATGGCTCCCCTAGGAAGCCACTGTGCAGGGGACCTCCTGGGCTCTTTGCCCACCTGTCAGGATCTTCTCCCCAAGCCTCCTGTCCCCTCCTTAGGGCTCCAGAGAGTGAGCGGGGACCCTGTGTTGTCACCCAGTGGGCACCATCCTCGGTCCCTGTCGTGTGAGGCGCTGGATCTCTTTGAGTTCCTTTCACCAACATGAGGAGGACCACGACTTGCACAGGTTGCAAGTGACCTACCTAAAACTTGTTGGTCGTTTGGTCTTTTTCTCCATCTTCTTTTTCTTTCCCCCCCACTTCCCCCATACTTATTCAGGTTTCTTTTCGACCCCTCTTGTGCCTTCTGGCGGTCCTCCTCATGTCGCAACTCTGGGCTTATCCCCCCCTGACTCCAGTCGGGGCTGGCTTGGGCTGGGCTCAGTTTCCCTCGCTCTCCATCAGCCCGCCAGCGCTGACCGGTCTCTTGAAGGACTCCTGAAGACTTGGGCTTGGCACTGGTAACCCCACGTGCCCTCAGCTCATGGTGTCGAACCGTGGGGTCCCAGTGTCGATCGGCAGAGACCCCTGCGTGAAGGGACAGCTGAAGAGGACTCAGGGCAACGCGGGATTTGCACACCTGTGGTTGATGGGCGAAAACATGAATTGTTACAAGACCCATCTTGCCGCTTGGCTTGACTGCTCCTGGGCACCTCCACGCACGCCATCTTCCCGTGTCCCCGTGGGGCCTTTGCTGCCCGAATCTCTGCCGTGAAGGGTCCTGCCTCTCCTCTGCTGCTGGCTGAGGGGCAGTTTGGGCATCTCCTGGGGCAGGTGGTGCCTTCCCCCACCTGGGAGGGTGTTTGCTGAGGGTGGCTGGTGCCCCATCCTCCGCAGCAGTTTCAGCTTCGGATGCTGGAGGTTGAGCCCTGGCGCAGGGCTCGGTGTCCGTGCGAGTGCCGTGGGGTTTTCCCGCTCGTGTGTGAGTGCTGAGCATCAGCCTCCCTGACGCCTGCCTCTCGCGTTGCCCCGCCAGGTCCTCTCGAAAACGGGGGAACCGGCTGCCATGCCACGACCGGAGAGACCAGATCCCTTGCCGGTGGCCGGCGGTGTCCCCTGGGCCGTGCAGGTAGCTTAGTGACCCCGCTGCCACCTCGCCCTGCCCCGCAACCCGCTTCTGAGTCGTTTTTTTTTTTTTTTTTTTTTTTTTTTTCCTCTCTTTGCCCCTGCTCCTTGCCCAAGGTAGGGAAGCCCAGCAGGAGCAAGCACAACACGCTGCCCGGCGGCACCCTGCAGATCCGCTCCCTCGGCAAGGACGACCACGGCGAGTGGGAGTGCGTCGCCACCAACATCGTCGCAAGCATTACTGCCAGCACCCACCTTACCGTCGTAGGTACGGGCCGGCCGGGGGGGGGACGGGTCCCTGGATGGAGCCCCCCGGGCAGCGTGTGGGCAAGGCAGAAGATGGGGATGCTTCCCATGAGGCGCAGTGTCTCCTTTAAATGTTATTTACTGGTGGAGCCGCCTTCTTCCGCTCCGTTATTTTGGCTGCCTGCGGACACTGCTCCTCTCCTGCTGCTATTTCTCGCAGAAATTCCAGGTGGCCTTTGCGTGGTGCAAGAGGAGTCCCCTCAAGTCGTAGCTGGGAGCAGCCCCCGTGCCCTTGCGGGCCAGCGCGGGGTCTCGCTCCCCTTTAACCCATTCCCTCCCTCTCCGCAGGCACAAGCCCTCACGCCCCGACCGGCGTGCACGTTGTGGTCGCCATGACCTCTGCCAACGTCTCCTGGGAGCCTGGCTACGACGGTGGATATGAGCAGACTTTCTCAGTTTGGTACGGCCCTCTGTGAGTCATCCTGGCATGCTTTGCTCTCTGCTTCTTTTCCTTCCTAGCCGACCCGAGCTCCGAGCAGCCGAGGGGGAGGAGGGTGGCGAGGGTGGTGTGCCCATCTCTGTGCCCGTGGGCATTACAGGGCTCCCGTTCGGTGCCTCAGAGGGATGGGTGGTGGTGGGATCATGTAGTTCCCGTGTTTCCTCTCCCTTCTGCGCCAGCCAGCATCTCCGTCTGCCCCAGCAGGTTTTATTCTGCTTGTGGTACAAGGGAGACGCTTTGCATTCGTGTAACTTTGCCTCTGGCATCTAATTTCAAGATAAACTGTTTATGACGCTGAACAGCCAGAGAGAGGGTGGAAAATACAACCTTTATAGAGGGTGTCCTGGAAGAGCTGTGACTAAGCAGAACTGATCTCTCCTTGCTCTGTGACTCCCTGGAGGTGGTTAAATCCCAGCTGAGTTCACGATCATCCCCGTGAGATGCCGGCTGGGTCTGAGCCTCCTGGGGCTTTGCTCCCCTCGCTCCTGTGCCAGCCTGCACTACCCAGCACCCAAAACCAGTGGGTGCATCCCACTTCAGCCCTGCCGGCTTTCCCCCAGGGCATGGAAGGGCGAAATGTAGCTGCAGTGAGGTCGGGGTTTTTGTTAGGCTCTGCATTTGCTCTTGTCTTCCTTTTCTGAAGAGCTGTCCTCGGAAACATGGAGGGGATGACACCTTCCCTTCCCAGGCCTGGGCTGGCATTCTTCAGCCTTTCTCTTTGCTCTCTCTTTTCTTCCTTGCCTTAATTTGCACCGATGGAGACTGCTGATAAAGTGTAGATGGGGTAGATGCTGCCTGCAGTGATTTCTGCTCTGCTCCAGCCCGAGGCTGGGCAGCCCGTCGGGAGACAGAAAGAAGGAGGAATGGAGCGAGCAGAGGGGAAAAACGAGGGAGAGAGAGGGGTGGGGCGCGGACATTGCTCTGATAAAAACGTCCTTGGTCACCTTGGAGGGAGGTGACAGCGGCTGCTGCCAGGTTCTGCCTCCTCGAGGCTCTTCCAGACTCACAACGGGAGAGGAGCCAGCGGCAGGGAAGGGCGTTTGCACCAAGCCTGGCTTGGGGGGGATGTACAGGGACCGGCAGGCAGAGACCCTGCCTGTCGGGTGTGAGCCCTGGGGGTCTGGGACGGTGCTGGGTCCCCTCGTGCCGCCCGGCGAGCTGCCCACCCGTGCGTTTTCCTCCCCGCTCTGCCTGCGGGACGCTCAAGCGAAACGTGGCTTTGCCTCCTGCGGAGTTCCTCCTCTCCTCCCGCTTCTGCGGTTGTCGATGCTGGAAATGCAAACCCCCGCTCCCCAGGGACCCCAGCCACCCCAACGCCCCCCCCCCCGGGAGCCATTAATGCTGCGTTTACTCTCGGCTCTGAGCCCCTTGCTGCCCGCAGCAGCGCCGGGGAGAAGGGATGCCAAGGCCGGTGGGGTTAAATGCCCGGGGGGTCCCGGGAGCCGTAGTCCCGGCCGGAGCCGCGGTGATTCGGCCGCTCGGTTTGGTGGAGGCACGCTGCACGTGCATGGCTCTCCGCCGACTTGCTTGTTTTCCATAGCTTGCTGCTGCTTCTCCTGCCTCACCTTTTGCTCCCTTTGCAGCGGCGTTATCTTTGCTCCATCTTTTACTTCCCACTCGGTGGATTTACCCGGCTGTATGGCAGTGGCCACAGCAATGCCCGCTTCCCTACGCAGGAGACGTTATTTACACGAATCCTTCCCAAATCCTCTGCGGACACCACCGAAACCTGCAGCCGGGGGGGGCTGGGCCTCCCTAGAGCACCTCTCTAACACGAGTGCCGATACTTGCAATAACGTTGTGGCGTGGTGACGCTGCTTCGGGACGTGGGGTTGTGGCTTGTGGAGGTGGCTGCACGCTCACGTGTGCTGGGGTCGCACTGGGACAGCTCTGGGAGGTTTTTTTTTGCCCCGGGCTTGTGGGTTAGACCGCAGCAGCAAAGTGGCCTGTGCTCCCCTCGAGTGCCTCTGCTGTGCTGCCAAACCTTAAGTTATGCCCAGGGCTGTGCTGGCAGCCCCCAGCTTGTGCAAATAACGGCAAAAAAGGTGATTTAGTTAAATGTCTCTTGTGGGATTGCATGTACAGGGATACAGCTGGGGGAAAACTTGGCTCTGGATTGGGAGCTGTCGAGGTATAAATGGGAACAGGGCCCATCTCCTGCTCCAGCCGTCCCCTTTGCAGCACTCACCGGACTAAAAATGCGCCAGCTCCCACTTTTGCCCATGGGAATCTGATGGTGGTAACCTCCGAGCAGGGCTGCTGGCGCTGCTCTGGTCCCTGGCCCTGCTCAGGGGGTGCAGGCAGAGGGGAGGGCTGGCAGCCCACGTCGGTGCGAGCCGGAGGATGCCAGCATGGCACAACGGGACGGTGCCCCGTGCCTGGCAGTCCCTGTGCGCGCCGGCCCCGAGCCAGCTCCTGGGGGGGCGAGCGGCCGCCCCGCGTCCATACACATCGCTGCTGTCAAACGAAACCATCGCTCGGGAAAGCTCCATTTTCTCCCGGAGAAGTTAATGCTGCCTCTTTGCCCTGTTGAAGGCGCCTTCCCTGAGGATGCTCCTTTTTCTCTCGGCAGGATGAAGAGAGCCCAGTTTGGCCCCCACGACTGGCTGTCTCTCCCTGTGCCAGCTGGTTCCAGTTGGCTACTGGTGGATACCTTGGAACCGGAGACTGCCTACCAGTTCAGTGTCTTGGCTCAAAACAAGCTGGGCACTAGCTCCTTCAGTGAGGTGGTCACTGTGAACACTCTAGGTAGGTCCTCTGCCGGAGACAAGGGGTTCAGGAGGTCCATGGGGAGAAGTGGCCCTTCGCCTTGGTCCGTGTGTCCTATCTCCCTGGGGGAGGAGTGATTTCCAGCCATGTAGAAGATAGTTTGTGGAGTGTCCTGGATGAAGCTTGTAGACTTTGCTGGATGTGTGAGGCTCCTGAAAGCTTGTCCTGAAGAGACAGCATGGGAGAGCTGTACTGTAGCAGTCACTTTTCAGATCTTCCTTAAGTTCAGCTGGGGTCAGGAGGTATTAATAGAGCACAAAATCACTTGCGTGCGGCTCAGAGCAGGAGCTATCACAAAGGGCCTCGTGCTGGTACCTGCCTTGGGGCTGTCTCGGGTGAAGGTGGGAGGAAGGCGGGAGGTTTTCTAATGCTGCGCCTCTTTTCTTGGACTCACTGCATTGTTGGTCCCCTGCTTTTTGGACAGCCGTTTTGTATCTCTGAGATAAGAGAGCACATGCTTGAGGCGTGCCCTAAACTCTTGGAAGGTGGGAACAGCCACCGCCCCCCACCACGGTGGCCCATCTGCTGCTGCTGGGGCATGCGTTGGGGGGAGAGCATCCTCTGCCCTTCCTCTCGCCCCATCTCAAAGGTGCCCCTGTCCCATCTGCTCTGTCTCCAGCATTCCCTGTAACAACTCCAGAGCCTCTGGTGTTGGTTACCCCACCGAGGTGCCTAACAGCCAACCGGACACAGCAAGGCGTCCTCTTGTCATGGCTTCCTCCTGCTAACCACAGCTTCCCCATCGACCGCTACATCATGGAGTTCCGTGTCGCGGAGAGGTGGGAGATCTTGGACGACGGCATCTTGGGGACCGAGAGCGAGTTTTTTGCCAAGGACTTGTCCCAGGTACACAGGGGCTGCCGACGCCATATCTCTGGTGTTGCACCGTCTGCTGCAGCTCTGGGGAAGCTTTTGGGGTGGCTCGGTCCCCGGGCTGGGCTCTTCAAGGAGCTGGGCAAGGGTGGGGGCTGCGGTGACAGATGAACTTGTGTTTCAGGACACCTGGTACGAGTTCCGGGTCCTGGCGGTCATGCAGGATCTCATCAGCGAACCCAGCAACGTTGCTGGCGTGTCCAGTACAGGTAAGGGGTGGCTCCGTCTTCTACCCCAGCTGTGGGAGCACCTCTGCTTCTGCAGGTACCTGGGCTAGAGCTCAAGTCGTGCGTCAGTACTTGCTCACGACAGCGATGGCTGGTTCTGTGCTTTTGCGTGAGATGCTCGGGCTGTGAGCCGGGCTGGTGAGCCCCGCAGGGTGAGGGTCGGTGTCCTGGGCACGCTGCTGGCCCCGTGCTGCCTCCCAGGGCAAATGGACCAGCGGCTCTGGGAGCGGGTGAGGACAAATGGCCCCGTTTGGCCCTTCCCGGGGAGCGCGGTGTTGTCGGGTGTCCGCTGGCGCAGAGTGGCAGCCCATCTCGGCTCTGCGGGGGTGCCTGGAGAACAAAGCTCCGACCGGGCGCTGCGCAGCCTGGAGATGGGAATGAGAGGTGCAGGGAGGGAAACGTAGCGCTGCAGTGCAGAGCCCAAGGGGAAGAAAAGCTTTGCAACGGGCGACTGCAACACGCCGCGGCTCGCGCGTGTCCCCTGCGCCCCGGGGGGGGGATGCTGCTGGAGCAAGGGACAGGCGAGGGTACGTGATTGCGGTGGGGAAGTGAAGGGCAGCGGGAGGAGGTGGGGATGCGGCGAATCCTGCTTTTACGGAAAAGCCGAGAGGAGCCACCCAGCTCTGCCGCACGCAGGAATGCAGCGGTCTCTCTCTGCCCTCAAGCGGTGCCGGCGCGGTGCGGGGAGCCTGCCTGCTCACCCCTTGCTCCTCTCGCACAATTCTTCCGATGGGGTTTGGCAGCGTCCCCAGGGTGTGTGTGCACCCCGGCCCCCCCCCCCCAACACCACGGGGCAGATCCCCTCCCGGGCTGAAAGCCAGCGTTCCCCCCAGGCAAACGTTCACCGACCCTGCGCGTGGTGGGAGCGCTGGTGTGTGCTGGGTTTGTGGCAGCCGAGGTCTGCTGGTGGTCGGGGTGTGCTCGTGGTTAGCGCAGGGGAGTCGCGAGGGTTCGGAGCCCCCTTTGCCTCGAAAAGCTGGAATTGAAGCGCTGACAGACACGGTGAAATAACCGCGTGCTGCTGCAGCGGGTTATTGGGCCGGGAGATAACTGCAGTTGTGTGTGCTTGTACATAAATGTGTATTTGTGTGGCGCGGAAGCTTCTTCCCTGGGGGTCTGTCAGCTAAGATAAAAAGGTTTATCCGGTGCGAGGTTGCTAAATCCCTTGGCAGCGGCCTGCAGCAGCCCTGCCTGCTCTCCCCAGCTGGGCTGAGCTGGAAGCAGGGTCTTTACTTAAAGACTGTCACTCCTGGTACCAGTTGCCTTCACGCTGCGGTAGGTCCCTGGGGAAGGCAGCAGGCAGGGGCGTGTGCGTAACACCTAAATGTTGTGTTTTGCCCCCAGACGTATTCCCTCAGCCTGACCTGACGGACGAGGGTCTAGCCCGCCCGGTGCTGGCTGGCATCGTTGCCACCATCTGCTTCCTGGCTGCTGCCATCCTCTTCAGCACACTCGCCGCCTGCTTCGTCAACAAGCAACGCAAACGCAAGCTCAAGCGCAAGAAAGGTGAGCCCGTCCCCGCGGCGCTTCCTTCCTCCCTCCCGCCTCCTCCTCGTTTCTCCTCCCTGCTTGTGTTGTGGTGGTAACCTTCTTCCCTGTCTGTCTCTTCTTCCGTCCGTGCGCGTCCTCAGGTGAAGCCCTGACTTCATCCCTCGGCTGTGCCTGAAAGCGCCCGTGGTCGGGAGCGGGAGAGGCAGGGTGGGTGAAGAGGAGACAGAGAAACTAGCCTGGGATTTCCGAGGGAGCGCTCTCGCGTGGTGATAACTCCTAGAGCTGGGGGCTTAGGGCTGGGGTGTCCTCTGGGCCAGAGATGGGGGGGGACCGCTCACCTCCTCCAGGTCCCCCCCCCCCCCGGGAGCTGGGCTCTCCAGCTGCTTTCTGCCCAGCCCGGAGCTGGCAGCGCCCGACGGCCGCACTAGGCTAGAGAAGGACCCCCGCAAAGGAGACCCTGCCACTCTGCTTCCCGAAATTTGGGGTTGCGGCCGCCGTGCAGGAGCGGCTGGTAGGGAAAAGGGCGGTTGGGGAGCCGGAGCGGGAAGGGGAATCGGCTCCTTCTCCTCTAACCTGCGAGACTGCGGCAGCAGGACGGGCAGGACCCCGTGACGGGAGCTGTTTGTTGTCAGCAACCATTAAAGCGCTGGAGCAATGAAACCTTGGCCTCTCGTCGAGTGTCTTTTGTTGTCCTGATGTTGAGTTGGTCTTGTCTGTCGTGTTGCGCCTCCTTAGCGTTCTCTCTTCTTTCCCCTTTTTATTCTCTTCCAGACCCTCCTCTCTCGATAACCCACTGCAGGAAGAGTTTGGAGTCCCCGTAAGTATCTGTCGGAGATGCAGCACCAGGATGTGGGTCTTCAAGGTGCCTCCTTCCTACAGTTGTTGCGAGGCTCCAGTGGAAATGTCTGACCCTGTTTGCTTGCTTCTGAGGGGTTGTTTTGCGTGTTCCCTGAACTTGCGGGAACACAGCGGTTCGCGAGAGACAGACGGGCTTTGGAGCAAAAAGCAGCCAGGGACAGACCCAGCAAAACTTTAAGCTAAGGGCTGACCCCGTTGGATATCTGTGGACAATGACCAAAGCTGGAGTTGACTGGTGGAACTCAACTGTGCACCCAGCTTGAAGGGGCTCCTTAGGAGGAGGGCTAGCCTGCTGCGGAGGGAGTCCTTCATGCAAGCTCGGTGTAGTTTTTGGGTGATTCTTTGTTGGCTGTGGTTTTTCTTGGGAAATTCAGAGAATCTCCCACCTGTATCTTTTCCCATGAGGAGTGCCACACTGAAGCCTCTTCCCACACGTGTTGGTGGATCGTGGTGCTTGCGGAGCCCATCAAAAGCATGCATAGCTGCTAATCAGCGGGAGCATCTTCCCGACATGGGCATGGGAGTCTGAGAATGTGGAATCCTCATGCTTTGGCTCCTGGACTGTTGCAAAACGTTCTGGTGCTGGTGGATCTTAATCTTGCTTTTTTTCAGTTTGTCCACTGCACTGAAGTAACTGTAACTGCCTCTGTTGGATCGGTTACCTTTTGCCTTTCAATCCTGCTTGCTCGAGGCTTTCTGGATAGGGATGAGTGCACTATTCTGATGCTCTGCCTTTTGAGGCTCTCAGCCTTGAGTCTGAGTGATGAGAACGGGGGGAAAAAGTTGGTCTGAAACGATCCATCAGCATCTCCAAGTGCGATGCTGAGTTCTGCGGGAGGGGACGTTTGCCTGACGTCCCTCCTCTCAGGGGCTTTCCCAGGCATAGATAGGCTCAGGTGAACATAGAAAACCTTTGAAGGAGTTGGAAGCGAGCTCTGGATCTGTCTTTTGTCCCGCTGGGGCTGCGGAGCTTGTTGGAAGGCGTTGGCGTGAGCTGCTTGCCCTGGGTGGGATGCTGAGTGTGCTGAGCTCCGCTCTCGAGGAGCGGGGATGATGTCTGCTGCTGCTGGTCCCCTGGCCTGTGCCATGGCCGGGCAAGATTCTGCCATCCTGGTTAGCCCCCACAGATTTCTCCTAGCAGCTGCTCCTTTGAGAGCTGGCAGTTCTTTGTTCTCCGGGCCTCGTCCGGCGGTTCTTCTGGGCGAGAAGACCTCCTTTCCCCTCCAGGTGACCGTCCCCTCTCTCGGTTTTTCTCCCCTGTGGTCCAGGTTGTCTTCCGGCAAGGTGAGTCCCGAGAGCATCCGCACGCTCCGTCCCCCCTCGGAGTCCTCCGACGACCAGGGCCCGCAGGCCAAGCGGATGCTGAGCCCCACCAAGGAGAAGGAGCTCTCCCTTTACAAGAAGACCAAGCGAGCCATCAGCAGCAAGAAGTACAGCGTCTCCAAGGCGGAGGCCGAAGCCGAGGCCACCACCCCCATTGAGCTCATCAGCCGCGGGCCGGACGGCCGCTTCGTCATGGACCCGGCGGAGATGGAGCCCTCCCTGAAGACCCGGCGGATTGAGGGCTTCCCCTTCGTGGAGGAGACGGACATGTACCCCGAGTTCAGGCAGTCGGATGAGGAGAACGACGACCCCGTCGTCCCCACCTCCGTCACCGCCCTGAAAGCCCAGCTCACCCCTCTCTCCTCCAGCCAGGAGTCCTACCTTCAGCCACCAGCATACAGCCCCCGGTTCCACCGGGCGCTGGAGGGTCCCGGCGCCCTGCAGGCCACCGGCCAGACCCGCCCGCCGGCCCCCCGGGCTTTCCACCACCAATTTTACGGTTACCTCAGCAGCAGCAGCCCCGGGGAGGTGGACCCGCCACCCTTCTACATGCCAGAAGTCAGCCCGCTGAGCTCGGTCATGTCCTCCCCGCCACTGCCCCCCGAGGGGCCCTTCGGACACCCCACCATCCCCGAGGAGAACGGGGAGAACGCCTCCAACAGCACGCTGCCTCTGGCCCAGACCCCCACGGGGGGCCGGTCCCCCGAGCCCTGGGGCAGGGCCGAGTTCCCCTTCGGCAGCCTGGAGCCAACCCCGGCGCCGTTCCCCCACCAGCTCCAGCCCTGCGAGGCGGCTGAGGGCACCCAGCCCACCGGCTGCCTTCCTCGGGGGCCGCCCCCCTCATCCCTCCAGGTGGTCCCCGCGTCCTACCCGGGCATCCTGCCCCTGGAGGCACCAAAGAGCTGGACCGGCAAGTCACCCGGCAGGGGCCAAGCCTCCGTGCCCACCACCACGAAGTGGCAGGACAAACCTATGCAACCCATGGGATGTCAAGGGCAGCTAAGACATACCAGCCAAGGTATGGGCATACCCGTGTTGCCTTACCACGAACCGTCCGAGCCCGTCGGCCCCAGCGGCACAAGCACATTCAGCCTGGACACCAGGTGGTACGAGCCCCAACCCCGACCTCGGCCCAGCCCTCGGCAGGTCAGGAGGGCTGAGCCCAGTTTACATCAGGTGGTGCTACAACCTTCGAGGCTTTCTCCTCTGACCCAAAGCCCCCTCAGCTCCCGCAACAGCTCCCCGGAGCTGACCGCCCGCGCCCGGCCCCGGCCGGGCCTCATCCAGCAGGCTGAGGTGTCGGAGATCACCCTGCAGCCCCCCGCGGCGGTCAGCTTCTCCCGCAAGTCCACGCCGTCGACGGGATCCCCCGCGCCGAGCAGCCGGGGAGGCAGCCCCAGCTACCGACCCACCGCCGCCTTCGCCTCCCTGGCCACCGCCTACGCCGGCTCCCAGGGCTCCTCCCTGCCCGCGGACACCGTGGATGTTTTCGGAGACATCCCCTCCCCGAGGAGGGCCGGCGAGGAGATTCTCCAACCGGAGCCGACGTCCACCACGGTAGCCGCCACGGGGTAAGTGTGTGAGCCCCCCGTGGTGCCCGCCCCCCCGGCCCCCCTCTCCCGGCTTCCCCCCACCCTGCCTCACCCGCTCCCTCTGACTCCCTCCCCGCCATCGCCATCCCAACTCGTAGGGTCTCTCTGGGCGCGCTGCAGCATCCCTTTTGGAGACGGCGTCCCGCGGGCTTTGCTAGGAAAGAGGCTTGGTGCCGCGGGTTGCATGGCCGCTGCCCGAGCGAGCTGGGTTTTAGGCAGGCGACCTTCCCGGTGCCGGCGGCACGCTTTGCCCTCCTCCCCGGCTGCTCCCTTGGGAAGCCGGGAGCGCCGTGACTCGGGCTCCGGGCCGTCTCCCCAGGCGTGCAGAGACCTGGCACCCCCAGCTCCTCGCGTAGGTAAGTGTCCTGGTGTCACTGGCGGTTGTTTCCTCTTCTAGCTGCTGGCTCTTGGCTTTCTTCGAACGTTAGGGCCGCCGCCACCGCGCCTCTGTCTTCCTCCTCTTCCTTCCCGCGGAGTCTAGAGAGCTTTAATGCATGACAGAAACAGCTATCACGGTCACCGCCCCACCTGCAAAAGGGATGCTGCAGCCCCAGGACGCGGGCAGGGAGAGATCAAGGACTTAGCCACACCAGCAGCATGTCAGGAGAGGAGGAAAAATAAAAATAAGCTAACCCCAGCGGAGATCGGGAGGCTGCCGGCACGCTCAGATCCTGCCCTAAAGAGGGATGTGGCTGCACTAGACAGTAGCGGCTGGTTTTCCAGGTACCAGGGTTGCTCCAGGCAAAAAGCGTCTCTCTTTCTCTCCCCCTCTTTCTCTCTCTCTCTCTCTCCCTCTCTCTCTCTCTCTCTCTCTGTATTTCTCCTCTTTCCCTCCGTCTTTCACAGCACCTTAAGACCCCGTAGCCGTGCTTTCGTCCCATCCTTTCGTCTCGCTTCATTTCGGCTTGTTGTCTGGCGGGGTCGAGCCGCCCCCCCCTCCGGCTTGCGGCAGAGAGGAGTCGGGGGGCCGGGGCACCCGGCCCCGCGGAGCCGGCGCGGTCGGAGGCGTACGGAGAAGAGACGTGTGTTTCGGGGAGGGGGGAGGCAGCGTTTCACCCCGCAGCGCCCTCCGCATTTCACTCCCGCCCTCTGGTACCTGGAAGCGTTATGGCCTTAGAAAACCCCTCCGGCACGGCCCGGCTGGGGCGCGCAGGGGGAAGGAAGGAAGGAAGGAGGGCTCAGGGGAGAGGATGGGGAGGGAGAGGAGCTGCACGAGCCTGAAACGACTTCTGTGTGCCTCTGGAAAACACGGCTACGGAGCGAGGCAATTCAGCCTGTAGACGTAGGTCCCCGTCTCCTAGCCAGGGCACCCCGAGGAGACCCAGCTCCAGGACAGATCCGTGTTAGAGCAGCACCGTTGTCCGTGCTTTAACGCAGTGTATCCATTCGCTTCGTTGATTATTGTTTTCGTTTCTTCTTTTCCTTTCTCTTCTGTTTCTTTCCCCCTTTCTTCTCCAGCCTCGTTTCGTTTGTGTTTTGGTTTGGTTTCTTTCCCTCCTTTTTCCTTTGGAGTTGTTGACGTGCTGATGTGTTGCGGAGCTCGGCTCCTTGCGGGTGTTGATAACTGCTTTGTTTTTGATTAATCTCAGCTATCTGGGCAGTGTTGTCGAGACAAGCTTCTCCTCAGCTCAATAGGTAAGGGTGATCCATGTCCGAAAGGATGGTGTGGGCGCTGTGGAGGGTGGCCGGGAGCGGGGCATGAGAGGGGACACGGAAGGGGCTTTTCCAATACCATCTCTTCCTTTAAAGGGGAATAAGGAATCCGAAAACACTAGGAAACACCTCTGGACGCACAGTCTCTGTGGCTTTTGGGTTTCCCCTCCCAGCAGCACGCCGCTGCTCCCCTGCCTTTGGGGAGGTGGTGGGGCTGGAGAGCCTGGTGGTAGCAGCCGTGTCTACACGTTGAGGGCTTGGGATGAGCCACGCTGCTGTCTCCCCGTGGCCTCCCGCCCTTTCTTGGAGGATGGTGACGCGTAGCACGAGGGTTGTGGGGTGTTAGGGAGCTGTGTGTTGAGGTGGGATTGTCCCGGATGATCCAAACCAGGAGGAGATCATGGCCACCCCCTGGAGCCAGGTAAAACAGCCACATCTGAGCAACCGGCCGCAGGTACCGCTCTTGGAGTGGGGCTCCAAAAATCAGTCTCTAGCTGTAGGCCGGGACATGGAGAAATCTGTTCCCGTCAGTACCTGGATCTGTGTTCTTTTTCCCGAGTCTCCTAAAGCATGGAAAATGGGAGAAGTCTTTCTTTCAGGAGGGACTGTATGGTCGGCAGCAGCGTAACTACAGTTTCAGGTTGCCGGTGAGGTGTTTTATGGTTCCTGTCACAAGTGTAGTCATAGTAAAAGCCCTCCTTCTCTGAAAAACTCCGTGGAGAAATCTTTAAGACTTCTTCTGACCCAGCTGTAATTAAGCAGCCCTAAGCAGATCTTGAAAGACTCCCCCAAGAAAATAATTCTCGGGCTGCCTTCATGGGGCTGGTTTCCTTGATGGCCGCGGGCATCTCTGGAACTGTGATGGAGTAATCAGGAGATGGTTTTCAGACCTTAGAAGCAGAGAATGTCACTAAAACTGCTAAAGCCAGATGGGATGATAGTCATTCCTTTCACCCCCAAGGATTGGGAACGCTGACCTGTTTGGCTGTCAGCCAGGCTGGTTATGAAAGGAGAGGTGGGATTGCAGATAGGACTGTTTCTAGGACCTGGAGGTGCCCAAGCTTCCTTAGGACAGGTCTTAAAAAAACTTAAGCTCTGCTGCCTTGGATGAGAAGAATCAAGGTCCTGGCTGATGCTCTCCTAACAGCCTGACAAGCCTTGTTGGACTGGAAAAGAGCCTCATGAGAGAGAGATCAGCCTAGAGAAATCGGGTAGATGTTTCCAGGAGAGGGGAATTCCTCCAGCTGACCTGGAGGGGTTGCCCTGGGGTGGGGAGAGCAGGAGAGGTGGGGAAGGAGTGTCGGGTCACCGCAGTGGGAGCAGGTACAGGGTGTGTGCTCCATGTCTTGGCCAGACAAATCCCCTTCAGTATGAGCCTTGCAGCCTCCAAAGCTCTTGAGTGCTTGGCCACCACCTTCTTGTTCAGTTCCCAGAGCAGGGTGCCCCGTGAGGTGCTAGCTTTGCTCCAAGCTTTGGTGGGATCTGGGCTGTGCCAGACTTCTCGAGAAATAGGAAAACCCTCGGCGAGGACACGGCTGTTTCCTCTATTCTTTATCCGTGGTGTTCCCCTGCTCCGGGAGCGCTAGGGACACGAGCAAACATGACTTGGGCACAGCAGAGTTGAGTCCAGGCTCACGTTCGAGTTCGGTGTGGCTCTTGCACAGATCCTGGCTGGCTTCTGTCTCCGGTGCCGTGGGCTGATGAGGTTTCAGGAGCAGGGTCACGTTTCCAGCAGGACGCTTGCTGAGGAGCAGCCGTGCCTCCTACTCCGAGGTGCTGCCGGGGGATGGAGTCGCAGGAGCGACTCCAGAGTCATTATCCCCCAAAAGGGGAAGCCAGAAGAATAAATCTCACTTTAATAAGCGAGGAATCCTGTAAAGAGCCCAGCCAAGTAATTTCTTGATGATTTGGGGTCATAAAATTGTCAGAGCATGCGGAGCGCAGGGATTTTATACCAGGCCAGCCAGATTTCTGTACTGCAGTAATAAAAGCTGAGAGGAGGAGAGGGAGAAGGCAGTTTGTGGGCTCGGTGTGGTGGCTGCAGCACGGTGGCTTTCGCTGGGTGAAGGTCAGGTAGTTTTTACCTGTGGGCAGGGATAAATAGTGCCATTACTGAGTCGGCGTGAGCAGTTTTCCCATTTTCTTCTCTTTGGATGCAGCGCGAAGCGATGCATCTCCTAACGGGGAGGAGGGGGCTGCCGTCTCCCTGCAGAGGGAAACCCAAAAACCACAGACAAGGCACCAAGCTCCCATGCCCCTCGGCACCGTGGCCCCCCCCGGGCCCCCTCTTGCCGGGGCAGCGCTGCCAACGCCGGGAGTTTGGGGGCTTGGTCTGCGGCGTAGTGTTGAGTGATGAAGGGACGTCGGCGCCAGGCGTGCGGGAGGAGGAGCACCCCTCGCTCCCCGCTTGAAAGAAAACAGGTTCCCCTTTAAAGACTGTCCATGTGCTGATCCTCTGCATGTGTTTCATGCCTCCTCCCGCTTGGAGAAGTTGTGAGTCCGCTTGTCTGAGTGCGTTTTTCTTTTCTTTCTTAATTATTATTATTTTTTTCTTTTCAGTCTCTTTAATTTACTTATATATTTTTCTCACTCCTGTTTTTCATTTATCTTCCTCTCTCCCCCTCTTCCCCGTGACTGTATCCCCCTCTTCCTCTCCAGTCCGGCCCCTTTTCCCTCGTCCCTCTCTCCTCCCCGCTCCTCTCCCGTCAGCATGGTGAAGTCCGTTGTGTAGCTGAGTTGTGGTGTCTGCAGACCTGTAGAAGGGACCCCCTTCTCCGGTGTGCTCCCCGCTGTGACCAGCCCCTTCCCCCCTCATTGCGGTGCCTTGGGCAGCAGCAGCTCTGGGGCGAGGGGCCGTCACCGCTGTGTTTCTCTAGCACCTCTCAAGCGATGCGCGGTGGCGCTCCGGGATGGAGGCAGCAGCCAGCGCTGCCTCTGAGCGGAGGGGCAATTCCAGCTTGTGGGACATCTCATGGGAGCGCGCAGGACTGGAGCGTGAGACAGAGCCTGGTGTAGGCGAATCGAGCTCTTCGTCTAAGGAGGATGAAGGGTTGAAGGACACAGCGGCTGAGACGCGGTGGACTCTGGTCCGAGCGGATACTCTTAACGTGTCCAAACTCTTCTTGCATGTCAGTGTCTTGACTCAGGGGGAGGAGGAGACGGGGAACATGTGTTGAGTCCTCCATGAGGTCAAATACATGTATTGTGCCCTCGAGTCTCCTGGACCCTTCCTTTATATGGATTCCCCCTTTTGGGTGGAAAGAGGTTAGTGATGCTTTCATGGGCCTTCTCCCTCACATCCTTGCTTCGTATGTGGAAAAGCATTTGAAGAAGAGCAGCTAAGGTGTGTGGTGGGTTGGATAGCTCTTCTCCCCTAGCTGCCTCCTGTCTTGGGGCAATCTGAGGTCCTTCAGTACCTTTGCAGCCTCTCCAGCACCTCTCTGTCCCTGCAGTTCAGATCTTTTCTCGTTCAGAAGGGTTATCCTTTGAAGACTAAAGGAAAACTGCTGCTCCGGGTGTCCGTGGTGCCTCGCAGAAGGCTTGTGTAAGGAATTCACATGTGCTTCTTGAAGTTCCTTTGCTTGGCTCTACACTGAAGTCTCTAGAAGAAGTTTGCCCGCCTCCCTGAACTACTCGTCTGTCTCTGGTGTTCAAGATAGCTCTCGTGCATGGGCAGCTGCCCAAAATGCTAACTCTGGGGGCAGGAAGAGGCTTTTGGCTGAGCTTAAAATGAAAATTAATTTGAAAGAATCAGAGTCCTTTGAAGAAATAAAGGGTGGGTAGAGCAGATAAAATTTGGCTGGTGAGTAGCATCGTTTCATCCTCCTCTGTATCTTCCTTGCCAGAGGTCAGAGAGTATTTATGGTGACACATGGGTTCAGTGCACTCACTGTTTATGTTTGTGTGTATAAATACAAGGCCAATTACGGAGAAGTAGTGGAAATGAGCTTCAGGCAATTTCCTCATAATCCCTTGCGTAAATCTGTCTAATTTTGTCAACATGCCACAGCCGCATCTTCTTAGAAGGAAAAAAAGAATGGAAAGAGCAAGAGCCTTTTACAAGTTGGGCTTTAATAATATCAGCGAAGTTGTCTGGGTGGTGGGAACAGTGGGATGCCCACGGGCAGGCTCGCCGAGCTCGCCGGCTTCCAGGGCTTGGCACATGGGGGCAGGATTGGGGCTGGCTCAGTTGAGGTCACTGTTAGCCGAGTACCTGCGCGAGTGTAACTGCTGTGCAAACCATAGAACGGTGGCTATAAATGGGAAAAGCCTGCTACTGACCGTTCAAGCAGGGATTACTGCAGGGAAGTTGGCTGTTGGCCCTTTGGGTCGCTCTGGGCCGGGGTGTGCACCGGGGGCTGTCAGCGTTGGTGCAGCTCGGCGGGTTGTGGCCCGACAGGTCAGGGAGCTGCCGCTCGCGGCGTCTCTCACGAGAGGCTGGTCGTGCTTGGGAAGAAGGCGCTCAGGCGCTGCAACAGTACGGGCTTGCAGACGTCATCTTTCCTACGAGGGAAAGCTCTTGCTTGGATCCCGCCAGCAGGACTACCAGCTTGTCTAATGAGTTGCTTCATCTTCAGCTGATGTGCTGCTCTGCTGGGAGCTGGAACAGAGCCTCTCCAGGAGCATCCACGCCTTGATGTCTCTGTTGCGATGGGAAACATGAAAAGGGGCTTTTCTATACCCAGTGTTTGGGTTTCTGTTGCGTCTGCTGTGCCCCAGCTGCTTCATCAATTCACAGTGCACTTTTCTTGATGCTCTCCGATGCTGCTAGCAGAACTGTGAAGCTTTGCAGTCACACGCGTCTTCAAAAACAATCCTGTCTGCTCCCCGTGGGGGGGAAAAAAAAAAAAAAAAAAATCCCTTGGGAGCTCTTCGCCTGCTCCACTCCAGCTGAAGTATCACCGCTTTGTCAGCCGCTTGGGATCTCGGGCGTGCAGCGTTGCTATCAGGCCGTGCTCTCTGCTGCAGCGGTGGTGTGCGTGGGGACTCACAGAGGAAAAAAAAAAAAAAAATCGCAGGGTGTCTTCAGTGTTGGAGAGGCTCCACCCGAAAGCTAAGGGAGAGGAGGAGCTCTCGTACCACGCTGGAGCCCGTCCGCTCGCCCGCTCCCACCGGCACCGGGCGCCGGGTGGGTCACGCCTTACTGACCAGGAACGAGGTGGGGGAGTTCGGCCACGGCGTTTCGGTGACGAAGCAGGAGCCTGAATGCACTGATGCTGCCTCCTCGCAGTCAGACGAGGTGACTCTTCTCCCTGCCTTGTGGAAGAGCCTGTGGCTTGCGGGGTTTGCTGATCCCTGCCCCGGCCGCAGACGCCTGCAGATGCAGGAGTGGCCGTCAGCGCTGTCCTCTGCCCGGGCTGTTTTGTAAAGGTTTGTTCGCTGACCTCTGGTGACCGAGTTGTGAGGGCAGAAGGGTGTTACCTCCTCTTGAAGGGTAGGACCGACTTGTTAGATGCACACTGGTTTAAATTGCCAGGCTTTTTTCCCCGGAGCCTGGCTTCATTCCAATAAAAGGTGCTTTGTGGATGCTTCCCCTGTCATCTCTGGGCCCCTTGTGTGCAGGTTGCTCTGTGGGGACTCTGGTTGATCCCAAGTCGTTACCTGCAGCCTCTGCTGCCTTCACTCAGACTTCTCCTTCTGCGGCACTGGGTGTTGGTGCACCTCGGAGGGACAGGAAAGTAAAATGGAGAGGGGGAAGGAAATGGGAAAGCAGCAAGGTGGGGGGGATGCTGTGATGTGTTATAGGTAAGAGCTGGACTGACTGCTCTCCTGAGGAGAAGGTTTTCATCTACTGCCCTGCTTTCCCTAGCAGTCATACTGTCTGGTCCTTGGATGGAGAAAAACGGGTACAGTGAAGAAAATAGAGCAAAAAAAAACCCTTTTGTAAAGGGGAGACCAATTAACCTTGAGCCAGTTCCTCTAGAAGAGTTAGGGGCTAAGGCTGGAAGACCGTCCCTTACAACTACTGGCTCTCCTACAGGAAACACCCCTTTGCAAATCCTCTCCTTGTCCCTTGCAGTAAAACCTTGTCACTGTCTTCATTTCAATGTCCTGTCCCGCAGGGCAAGAAAACCCAGCTCCCAGCCCCTCGGTGTTAAGAGTAGACGCTCCCGTGCTGTTGCGTTTCTGTTGCCGCTTATAGCAGGGGCCTGGGAACGAGGTACCGCTCCCGGCTGTGTCGGCGTGTGCCCTTCGTGTCCCCGTCTGTCTTGTGGCCCCTGGTTTTTCTGGCTGTGGGAGCAGGGCCAGGCAGGATCCTGCCTCTCTGCTGTTTGTGGCGCCGCTCTTGTCAACCCCGGGTGGCTCTCGGTCTCGACGCTGCTGTGCCGCTTCTCCCTGTCTCTTCCTCTCTCTCCATCCCAAGGGGTTTCCCGCCATTTCCCAAAAATGCCTTATCGGACATAGGATCTGCCCCGTCCTGTTTTTTTGTTTAGCGGTGCTGGCATGGCAGGCAGGTGAGCCGGGGTGCCGGGGGCCGGCGTCGGATGTTGCCGGCGGCACCGGCCGGGCTGGCAGCGACGTAGGGGGGGGACGGCGGGGCCCCCGCAGAGCGGCACGTGCGGGCGCCTCGCTTCCCCCGGCACGCCTGGCTGGCCCCGGGTTTCTCACCTTTTCCTTTTCCACGGCAGAGCTGGCTGGGGTCGACCGATCCCCCCACCGGGGACGCTCCGAGGCCCGAGCCTGGCCCGAGAGCCGCTGACGGCGCCTGTCTGCTTTTCCTTCCTAGAAAACATCCATCTCCGTCCGGGGACGCTGCTGCACCTGAGAGGCTCGAAGCTCTGAAATACCAGCGGATAAAGAAGCCCAAAAAGTCATCCAAGGGCTCCTCGAAATCCAGAAAACAATCCAGTGAGTGCGAGGACCCCGCGGTCCCCAACAGCGTCCCCTCTGTCCCGCCATGGGCAGAGCTCGGGCAGGTCCCTGCCAGCTCCAGCGCCGGGGGGGGCTCCAAGCACACGCCTGGATGCTGCCCTCACCCCCTGCCCCCTGAAGAGATGGCTCCCCAGGCTGCCGGCCTGCAGGCTGTCCCTCCCCTGTGTCCAAACCGAGTTCCCCTTCCATGCATCTCCCACCTCTAGCGATTTGGTCTGGGTTTTACTTTTGAGCGTTAATTCGGTTTTTCCCCGATGCCCAACGTTGCTCCCTTCTCGCCAAGCAGCCGGGTTTGGGGCCGGGCTTGCTGTAACCTCCCTTTTACAGCGCGCAAAGCGCTCTGCCGGCTCTGGTCCCATCTTGCCTTCTCTCCCCCCCCCTCCCCAGACGGCTCTGCCTCCCAGGTTCAGCAACTTCCCAGCTCTCAGGTACTGTGGCCTGACGAAGCTGTCTGCCTCCGCAAAAAGAAGAGACACCCTCGTCAGGACCCCTTCGCCCGCCTCTCGGCGCTGAAGGACGACCTCTGCCACCGGCAGCTCCCCGAAGACCAGACAGCCATTCTCAACAGCGTGGACCACGACGACACCAGTGGGCACGCCACGTTGCTTTAGCCTAGCACCAGCCCGAGAAGGTTAAACAGGCCGGGGTGGAGGGAGCTGACATCGTGCCGCCGGGGGACGGAGGTGATGGGAGAGAGCTGGGGGGGTGGGGGGGGGACACCCCCTACGCCGCCGCCTCTGCTGGGGGGTTCGGTGGCTCGTGGCGGGGATGAGCTGGGGGGACCCCGGGGCAGGTTGGGGGGACGGGGAGGATGCCTGGAGCTGGGTGCTCCTCGGATCCACTTCTCCCCCCACCAACCCCGGATGGCTTCGGCGGAGCAGGAAGGGGGGCGGGGGGGCGTTGCATCTCGGTTTCGGAAAAGATCTTTAGGCTTAAAAGGCAGAGACGGAGCTTTTGACATCTGCTTCTGCAGCGTGCGTTTAGGGAGAAAGTGTGGAATTGAGCAGCTGGCCCTCAATCGCCGGAAGAAATTAAATGACACAGGGTGTAATTAATTGACAAGAAACTAACAACCCAGACGGGAACTGGTAGCCCCATGAATCTGATTATGATAAAAACCCGGCCAAATAATCCCAGAAAAGCTGTAATTGTGAAAATCTCCCTGCCTCCCCCTTCCCAGCCTCCTTTTATGTGAAGATAACAGCAACAAAACCATCCGTGACATCTTCCCTTACCTGTCTCTGAAAGGGAAAACCAGAAAGACCCCGAGCCTTCGAATCGGTCTGAGATGTGAGAAATCACCGTTTGTCTGTGCAAATGCATTTGAACCTTGCTAACGCGTACTCAACACTGCGAGCACGCAGGTATGGGACTGTTTTCATCCAAGGGTGTTTTGCCCCCCCCCCAAGTACGGTGTGTGTCAGCTTTGATGAGGGTGGTTTTGATTAATTCTTCCCGACACTCCATATATCTCTGGCAAATGTTCTTCAGTGCTGTGTGGTAATGTGATTTCTTACTACGGTGACGTCTGTAATCTTTATTCATAACTGCAAAACGGGGAGACGCCGCCGCAGGCGTGTGAGCGAAGGGGGGCTTGGCTGCGTTGCCCCCCAAAAGCCGCCGTCGGCGGATGCTGAGCCCGGGCGAGAGCGGCTGGAAAATCCCCAGCTCTGCGGATGGAGACGGATGGCTCCTCGGAGCGGCCGCGCAAAGCTAAGCCCAGCCTTTCGCGTCACCTTAAAACGCGTTGCTGCTGGTTTCACTGTTTTCCCCTTCTTTCTCCTGCTCCAGCCCGGCCGTGTAGGCTGTGACACCTGCCGGGGTTGTGTCCCTCCCTTTGCCCCATCCGAGGAGACCCGCTGTTCCCCTCTCGGTAATGCTGTTCTAACTCTTCACCGGAATGTATTTCCTCTTCAAAATACTTAGGGTAGGTTTGGCGGCCGGTGGTTTTCTGGATTGCATAGGCCTTTTTATTTTAGCAGGAAAGGTGTAGCCCGCTCTGAGAACAGCCGGGCTCGCTTTCCTGCTCTTGCCTCCACTCTCTGACTGCGTGGCCTTGGGCAAGTCACTCAACCTCTCTGTGCCTCAGTTCTCCCATCTGTAAAATGGGGATAAGTCATATTTGAGCACTTTGGACAAGCACTTGGTCACCTACAGGCTGCAAGTGCTATGTAAATGCTGAGTGCTAATACCGAGTGATCCCTACCTTTAAAATATTTAGAGAATATATATTTTTTTTTTTTTGAAGCGATAAAATCAACCGCTGCATCCAGGTTTGCACACTTCTTCCTCTGCGGTAAAGTGCTAAACCCTCCAGCCTGCCTGGGAATAAAATACCGAGTGTTTCATGTGGATATTCTTGCTTTGAGTGGATTCAGGCTGTAAAAGAAGCATCAGGAGAATTGAAGAGCCTGTAGGCATGCTTTTTTTGCCCCAGGCTCTCCATTTGCATATGAAACTTCTGTTTATTCCCAGGTAGAATTGCCAAGAGATTCTCCGCAATCTCGCCTTTAATTCTGCTTTGCCTTGGTTATTGCTCTTGCTGCTGGTTGAACCTCAAAGGGCTTAGATGTTTGGAGAAAGACGTGAGCTCTCGGCAGGGCGGTCGGGATACGGCACTCCGATCCCGCCACGCTCCCCAGGAGCTTTTAGGTTGGAGCCTTTTTACCGCTCTGCTTAGAAATACCTGTTTTTAGAGGTCGTGCTTCCTCTTCCAGCAGGACGCTCGGCAGCCTGCAACCACGAGAAGCAGAGCGCCGCGTCTTTTTCAATCTCGAAGCCCTGACTTAGGTTTGAACCACTTGATAATGAATCCTCTAAATCGATAACGAGATATTTCCAAGCTTTAACAACTTCGTGTAGGTGGTCTTCAAACCACGAGCAGGTTTGTTTCAGGAAGGAGGGAGGGTCTCGTAGAAATGCCTCTCTCTTTCCAGCCTGCACCGGGGCTTTTTATTGAGTTCGTGACGAGTGACCTGATGTAACACCCTCAACTATCAGAGTGAGAAGTCAACTTCGCTAACAGTACGACTGCGAATTCATTTTATTTGAGTGTGTTTTAGGGATTTCCCTAGAATCCTCTCGGATCTGAATTGATTTAATGCCATTCGCCCGCTCGGCAGCGGGGAAAACTCTGCTTGGCTAACTTCAGCTCGCCGGTAACGTCAGCGGCGTGGCGAGCCGGGCTGCTCCCGACGGAAAGGTGACAATCGGGGCCGGGGGGAGGCGCGGAGGCTTTGTGCTGGCCGTGCTGCGGCTGACTTGCTCTTCCTTTCGCTCTCGTTGCTTCAACCTCTCTCACAGAAGGTTGGTTTGTTTCGTTGGTTTGTTGGTTTTGTTTGTTTTTTTTTTTTTTTCATTTGAGTGCTTTCCAAACTGTTTATGACGCCCGTTTGTATGGGCAAGGCGGTGTCTTCAGGCTCTTGAGGTCGCTACCTCGGGACCGTGCCCTCATCCCGTCTTAAGGAGTTCTGGAGGACTCGGAGTGCAGGGAAGGTTGACGGAGCGCGCTGGCTTGCTGGGTCAGTCTTTTGAGAGTTGTTTTCCTTTTGCAGGTGTTTTGAGCCGCTGGGCCTCCCTGCTTTTCATGCTCTTCGACCTTTAGAGGCTGGAGCTGCAGCCCTCTCTCTTTCAGCCGTGTACCTGCCACGCTGCTGGAGTGGGAAATCCCGCCCGGGCGCCTCGTGGAAGCGGCTCTTCCCTAAAACCATCCTTAACTCCTTTCCCTGCTAGACCGAGTTACCTTCCGATAGACTCGGGCCGTGCTTTGGCAGACGGGCTCACCTCTTGCTTTGGCAACCTCTGCGCTTCTCCCAGCCCTCTGGTTTCCATGCCCTTCAGGGGGTCGCTCCTCTCTCCTCCCGCGGACCTGGGACATCGAAGCTGTGTCAGACGATGCCAAACGCTTCCCCCATTTCATCCCTGTTTGAACTCCGTTTCGCTTTGGTGGTTTGCAAACACAGCTGCTGCTGCTTCATTTTTATTTTTTTTTTTTCTTTTTTTTTCCTTTCATGCTGCAAAATATATCTTGATTTTTATCTTCCTGGGCCAAACTCTCTTATTTTGTCAGCTTGTCTGAGGTAGACGGCTCTTGCTTTATCAGTAAGCGTACGATTCCTCCATGCACGCTGCGAACGTGATGCGTTTCATCAGGTCCCTTGGAAAATCCTGGGCCGTGGTGAAAAAAAAAAATGCCTCTAAATCACAAGAATAACTGTCCCTGGGCTCCGCCGAGGTGTCAGTGAGGTGGTGCCTCCTCCTGCGAGGTGGCCGCGGTGGGGATGCTCCGGCGCCGTTCCCGTGCCGCCGCGGGGGTTGCAGGCTGCAGCCGCCCCGCGCTGGGGTTGGTAACGTGGAGAGGTAGGTACGGGGGTGTCGCTGAGGTCCCTCAGAAAGAAGGGGGTGGTCGTGGGGTGCCGTGGCTCGCACCCTCTCCGTCAAACCCGTGCCGTCCTGTTGCAGGCAGGCGGTGGGGCAGGGGAAGATGCTTTGCCTGGTTTTCCGGCAGGAGCTGCAGTCGGGCCATGGATTTTTAAGGTGACTTTACTGTGCAAACCCACAGATGTTTTAGGTTTTGCGACGTTGACGTGAAGGAAAATGCAAGTTAGCGTAAGCGGGGAAGAGTCGGGGGGGAGTGTTTAGGGCTTGCCTGCGGGGCCCCATTTCTGTGCCTGCTGTTAACGGCACCCGCGGGCACTTGGAGCGAGGGGTTTGTAGGATGGGGGGAGCGGAAGGGTCTCCTCCCAGCTCTCGCGACAGACTTGTGCCACGAACTTGGGCCGGAGCCCTCAGTGGAAGGCACCAGCACCCCCAAACCACCAGCCTGGCTGGGTGCGTTCGTAGGTGCCCCCCCCCCCAAGCAGAGTGGTCCCCGGGAGCTGCCGGGGGGGGCGGCGGGGAGCGGGCAGTGGTTTTCCCAGGGTGGGATGCTCGCTGCTGCCGCCGCCGTGCTCCGGTCACTCGTGACTTGGAGGCTGTTTTTTTCGTCACCGGTGGGCTCCAGGCGGTCGTCCCCTTGTCAGCTGGTTCAATGCCACCCGCTTTGGGGGAAGGCTGGAGGTGACGGTGTTTGGATAGATAAATGTAAAGGGATGGTAAAGGGAATAACAACTTCGCTGCGCCTACCTCCAGGGGTGTGGTGGAGGGTGCAGGGTTTGTGCTCAGCAGCCCCGGCTCAGTCCTAGCAGGGCTTAGTCATGTCTCAGGGCATTTGAGACTCATTGCTGCTCATACCTTGCCATCTGTATTAGGACAAAATCCGCCTGATGTTTTGGTTTCTCTTCCTGCTCCAGGCGGTGATGTAGATGTGGGATTTCTCCGAGTTTTGGGTTGGTTTCAGCTGTAGTTCTTGGCTGGGGGTATTTTTCGGCGGGGCTGGACCGGCTGCCTGCAGGGATTTCCACATGTCCTGCGTGGGCTCTCTGTGGCCCCTGGCTGGCAGAGTCGATGCTTTTTGTGGAAAGAAATCTTTTCAAGGAACCGGAGTAAACCGCGCTGTATATATGAGATATAAATACTTAGAGAAGCATAGGACAAAGATAGATAGGTATGCAGAAGTCCTGTAGATTTGCATGTCAGGGGTATGTTTGTCTCTAGGGGAGAGTGTTTAGAGCCACGGTGGAGGCGGGGGGGGATTGGGATGGGCGAAGCCAGGCGGGGACTGCTGAGCCTGGGGGGGGGGGGGGGGGGGGAATTTGGGGGTGAACAAGCACTGCTGCCCCACGGCAAGTGTGACCTGCCCTGCATCCCTGCTGCACACAACCAGATTGCCTTTTTTTTTTTTTTTTTTTAAAAATATTCCCCCCATTTTTTTTTTTTTTTTTTTTTTTTGCTTTGTTCATTGTCTGTGACTCACCCCAGGGCCGTGATATTGAGAAGCAGGAGTGACAGGTCCTCTCCTCTGCGTGTCTGGTGCACGTGGGGCATGACATGGGAAAGAGACGTCACGTTGCCTCATCTCTGGTGCAACCGTTTAAAGAAAAAGCATCACCCTGCAGAAACCCTTCTCTGAAGTCCCTCTAGATGCTGCTCTCCGGTTACTCATGTGAAAGCATTTTGCTTTTGCATCTGTTCTTCCCAGAAAAGCATGAGTCAGAAGGGATGAGAAGGATACGGCTAAATTTGTCCCTTGGGCTGAGGGACACGGCGCCGGCCGTGCCAGCCGCTCCCACCAGTGGCTCTGCAGAGGGACAAAATGTTCTTGACAGTGTCTTTTTTTTTTTTTTTTTTTTTTTTTTTAAAACCTCAGGACTTTTAGGGTCTGAGGTGTAGAGGAAGATTTGTTCAACAACGATGTCAGAGCTGGTACTGTTGCAGCCAAATTCAGGCTGGGTGCCCACCGCTCTCCAGGAGCCCACCCCCCTGCTGTCTGGGGGGAAGCAAACAGGATATTTCCCCCCTTCAGCTTAGATTTTTTTGTTGTTGTTGTTTTTTTTCTTTTGCTGCATATCTTTGCTCCTCGCTGCCTGTGTTTGCTGGGGAGGAGAAGCTGGGAAGCGCCGTTTGTTTCCTATTAGAGGTGACTGCCAAAAATCTGTCGGGGCGGGGAGGGGGGGAGCGATGGCACCGCTGATTTGGCAACGCCAAAGAAGAAATTTAGCCTTGAACTTCATTTCCCTCAGTCCATACACCCCTGCGCGGTGAGGACTGCTGCGGAGCTGCTGGTTTCTGGGGAGCGGTTGGCGGTGGGAGCCTGTTCCCCTCCCTGAGTGACTGGGATGAGCGGGGGGCCGCCTAATGTAGTTTTTCCCCCATTTTCCCCATTTTCTATGTGTTTTGGCCCGGCAGATCTGCGCCGCCCGAGCTGTCTGTTCCTCGTCATTTGTGTGGCAGTAGGCGCCTTGCCCAGCGATGCTGGGTGACCTCAGGACACGTGCCGACGCGCGTCCCCAATCCCCAGGGCTCTGCTGGTCTTTTGATACGTGCATGGATGGACCGAGGACCGTATCTGGGGGGGGGGGGGGGGGGGAGTGGGGGGGGGCAAGAGAAACGGGGGGGGCAGACGGGCTGGTCCAGGCTGCGGGGGTTTGGATGTCGAAAGCATGCACTGTAGTGGTAGCTAAGGATTTTTATACTGGTTGCAGTGGGGGGTGGGACACGCGGTATGAAGGGGCTGGCATCCCCCGGGGGAGGAGAGTCTGCCCAGAGTTTTGCTTTACCATCGAAATGACAATTTCTCTCCCGGGGGCGGGGGGGGGGCTTTTAATTCTTGTTCTCCTGAGGTTCCAGGGGACTGAGAGGGCTGCAAAGTGGGGGGTGCCCATCTTCCTAGGGCAAGGCAGTCCTGTGGTCTGAAAGCTCCTCTCATTTCCACCCACTCCCCCCCCCAGCACTTATATTTAACGGACAAAAAAAAAAAAAAAAAGACTTGAGAAATGAGCCCCAGTATCTCTGTCTAAAGAATTGATATTGGTGTATTGAAACTGCATTGTATATAAAATTAAACAAATATATATTTACTTTCTATTTTAGAAGGGGGGGAGAATAAATATTTAAAATAATTCCTTAGTAATAGGTGTCAGAAACTTCTGTGCAGCATGAGAGAGGCTGTCAGAGGTGGGGAGAGTCTGAACAGCAGGAGCAGAGCGAGTATTTTTACATTATATTGCGCTTCGGCTTCGCTGCTTCTCCATCCACCTATAAATAGACAAAAATATATATACAAATATATATATATAAAAAAAAAATTATATATATCTAAGTCACATAGCTGTTTTATTTTTGTATCCATGCCTAGTGCTGTTTGAGCAATACGGTGGCGAGGGAGAGGAGGGCTGGGCAAGGCTGGGGGGCTCCGAGGGGGATCCGCTGGCTCCGGCTGCCGTCCCGCCGCCGGCTCGGCATCGCTGCTGTTTGCTGTCGCGTTGCTGTTTCAATAGGGGGGAAAAAAAAAAAAAAAAAAAAATTGAAAAGGGGAAAAAAGCCCAGGGACAGGGCAGGGGAGCCAGGGCGCCCCCTTTGCTGCCAGCTTGCCCGGTGCCGCTGTGAGGTAGTGGTGTTTCCACCAAGGGCTGTGTCTTGCTTGGGTTTTTATGTTGTTTTTTTCAGAGAAATAAAACTAATTTCAGCTCCAAGGGTGCTATTTTCAGCGGGAAGGACGAGGCTGGGTTGCAACTCAGCGGGGGTGGCACAGAACTTGGGGGGGGGACAAGCTCCCCGTGCCGCTACCCTCGCCGGGTGCCGTCGGCCACCCGTCCTCGCCGCCTTCAGAAATCCTTCGGGTTTATGAACCCCCCGTACGGTTTTTGGAGCCCCGCAGAGCCGCCCGGGTGGCCGCGGTGGGGTCCCCCCAGGTCCCCACCCTCGGTGGGAGCCCCTTCTCCGTAGGCACGTCAATACCTCTACAACAAACAAAAGATCCACGACCGTCAGGGATTTTCCTGGGGTCGTGGGGGCTGCCGGTACCCGGCTGGGTGCCGGGGTGGGATCTGGGGGGGGGGGGTCTCCCTACCTCGGTGGGTGAAACGGCATCGAGCCCCGGCGTGGTGGGGGAGGGTGCCAGGGATGCTCGGGGTTTTTCTTCAAAGCAGTGCGGACCCCCCTTTTTCCGAGCTGATTTCGGGACCGAGTGATGCCGGGGAGCGAGCGGGAAGCCCAAACCACGACATCCCCTTTCTGCCTCGGATGCAGATTCGGGGATTGCCTTTAGGTAGCGGCGAGGGGGGCTGCTGCCCCTCTTCGAGCTGGGTCCCCCAGTCCTTGGCCCTTGCGGGGAGGGGGGGGACGACCCAGAGGCTGTTTTTTTGGGGGGTTCGGATGTCCCTGCAGCGAGGCAGGGGACAGCGGCGCAGACCCCGGGTGCTCCCACCCCTCCGGGGCTGGACAGAGGTCCCTCGCCCTTGTCCCCCCGTGTCCCCAACGGGCTGAGGCACGAACGTAATGCCCGAGAGCTGGCCCCCTCGCAGCGGCACCGTGTCCTCCGTAGGTGTCACCTGTATTTTCCATGATATTCGTCTTCTTCGTCGGGGAGGGTTGGGTTGGGGGTGGGGGGATGTTTCTAATATCGAGCCAAGATTTGTTCAGCACCAATTCTTGATATTGAAGCAAAGCATGTTTGATGGGACTAACTTGCATTTATTAGCGGTAAATACATAAGTGAGTATTTTATATGTTAAAATAAAGAAAAAAAAAAAAAAAAGGAAAAAGGATGTGAGGAGAAAGAGAAGGGATGAGATTTGTTGCCGGTTGGTGTCTGGACTGGGGGGCTGCGTTGCCCCCCGCCCCAGCCGGTGGGGCTTTAGGGTATTGCTGGGGGCGGGTTGGGGGGCGGGCAGCTTTCTCCTTTCCCCATCTCCCCTGGAATCACTTACAGAAAAAAAACAGGAAAAAAAAACAGGAAAAAAAAAATATATATAAATGTTTACAAAGCACACTTTCCACAGTACCGTTAACCCTCTGGATGCCGAACAGACACATAAAGAGCCGCTTCTCCCCAGGCACCGTGGGACGAAGGGGCGGCTGCGCCAACAGCATTGTCCAGCTTCCCTTGGTTTGATTTATTTTATTTTTTTTGTACACGCAACCCCGCTTCCTCCATCTGCCGCAGCCGCGTGCCTCTGGCGGGAGCTTGCTTTTTGGGGCGGGGGGGAGGGATTTGCTTCCTGCCCCCTCCCGGGCTCTTTCCACTCGGCTGTTGGGAGCGGTGGGAAGAGCCGTGGGGGGGAGCGCCCGTCTCCGCTCAGGGAGGTTTTGGCTCGGTGGGAGATGCTGGCACCCACTCCCTGCCCTCCCAGATGCACTTTAAGGCCAAACTTCTTTTTTTTTTTTTTTAGTTTTTTTTCCTCCATGGGGCCAGCAGAAGAGCAGGCCAGGGGATGCTCCCGTGGCCCCGGGGGGATGCAGGACCTTCCGTATGGCCCCTTTGCATTTCCCGTGTGGGAAAGCGATATAAAACTCCTCCTGGAAACACCTACCTTGCCATAAGTTTCTCGAGCCATCCTTCGGGCATTTGGAGATCGCATCCACACGCCAGCTCCCGGGGGAGCATCCCTGGATCCCCCGGGGAGCATCTCCAGCTCACCCAAGGGAGCATCCCTGGCTCTCCCGGGGAGCCCAGACTTTTTAATCCCCTTTGATAGGTTTGTAGATTCTCTGAACCCTCGTAGACCTCCGTAGGTAGCTCTTGATTTAATCCCCTCCTAACTCCGTAGTGTTTTCCCCTAAGGCAGGATTTTCTTCCGGACCCAACAGGTCTCTGATTGCATGGGACAACTTTTTCCTCTTTTTAAGAAGAATTTCTTGCCTATGGATATAAAGACTAGACCATCCAACCTCGTGTCCATTTCTTGAATGTTGAGTATTATGATATATAACACACATTAGGGTGCTCTTTGGTGCTGTTTCAGTGGTAACCAGTGGAACTGACTTTTTTTAATAACAATAAAGGAAACTTTAGTACCGCTGGTTCCATAACATTTGTCATTGTGACTTTTTTTTTTTTCCCCCTCTCTTTTCGTTGTTTTGTTTTGGGTTTTTGGTTTGTTTTTTTTTTTTTTTTATAATTTTTTACTAAAATGTGAGTAGCGATCAGCTGCCGTATCTCTGTGGTGTTGATTTTATTGACTTGTGCACTGCGAGCCGTTGGCCGCTGCCTGGCTGGGCGGCGGCTGCGAGCCGGGCGGGC